CGTTTATAATAGTTTAATTAAGTTCCTGGAGTCTATATAAGATGCACAGAACACAAGTTTATGGGGAAAGAGATAGTCTGAAACTTGCCTATGAGATTTTGAATTAAAACCTCTACGCCGTCTCTACGTTTCAGAATTCCCCAGATTGTTTTCCTCCTTTGATAAACCTTTTATTCCTCTGTTGCTTCTTGACTTACCCACGAGCAACTCCTCTGCTCGTCCTCTATACTTCCTCCATTAGCCTCACAGATTCTCTCAAGAACCCTTTCTGTTTTCCTCTCAAAATACTATTTCGTGAATAGGGTTTTGTTTTTGTTTTTCCAACCCTAGCAAACCATACAGTTTTATATATATAGGCTATTATTTAACCTATGTTTAATTCAATTAAATTTACAAGTCGGCTACACCATGAATAAATGAAACCCTAACTTAAACAGTTATATATATATAGGCTATTATTTAACCTATGTTTAATTCAATTAAATTTACAAGTCGGCTACACCATGAATAAATGAAACCCTAACTTAAATTAAAATAACCCTAAAATATAAACCATATAAGCCATAAATAAGACACGTCAGTTAAAACCAATTAAATTAAAATAAATAAATAATTAATTTAAAACACCAATTCAATTAAACAATTAATTTAAAACCAATAAACAATTAAAATAAATCAATTAATCTAAAACAAATAATTCACACTTAATCAATTAAACAAACCAATTCACTATATAACAATTAAATTAAATACACACAAATAATAATAAATCAACTAATTTAACCAAATAACAAATAAATCCAATAATTTAAATAAAAATGAAAAACAAACCAAAATATTCCCATTTTATCCTTTTGAAAACTAGGGGTATTACACCTTGTGGGCAGGTTTAAGAGGCACTAGCGGGATACAACACTGGGCGAGTTACAGGTGTACAATCACATATCACCTGGGTGTGGAAAAGAGAAATGTTATATATGTAGATGTGTCACTTTAATTGGAATGAAGCCTATAATTGGGATAAAACTCAAAAGCAAAACCGTGGAGGCTCGGGCCTAAAGTAGACAATATCATACCATGTGGTTGAGTGGGTCATTACGTCAAGTGCAGAAAACACCCCTTATGTATACTTTGCGTAACATTTTCACCCTTATTTAAAAAAAGTGTGCTAAAAACACCCCCATACTTTTAAAATTGTGCGAAAATACCCCTCAATAAGAATCTGACATAAAGTAATGCTGTAATACCCATTTTGCATTTTTACTCTTCCGAAAATGCCCAAGGGAGTTGTGTATGCTAATAATCTCATAGTACAGGAGTGTTATGTGCACATTAACTATATTTAACCCACTTTAAAGGATTTTCTCACATTTTCGAAGAAAAAAATTATCTCTATATTTCCGTTAAAAGTGTATTATTTCTCTTTAAAAAAAAAAATTGTCGTCACAATTGTTATATTAATGTACAATATATAATATGGAATGCAAACTTCAATTCCTTTTATAATTATAAAAAAGAAAAAAAATATTCCTAATTAAATTTTAATATGGTTGTCAGTTTTCATTAAATATATTCTTAAAAAAATTAAATTAAAGATACTTATTAATTATATAAACAATATACATTTAATTTTTTAAACTTTAGAATTTGCAATAAATTTTCACAAATATGTGTGTGTGTATATATCTATATATAAAATTCTTTACATAACAACAAATGTGTATTCATACATTATTGGGAAAAAAAACTAAAAAAAAAAACAAATAGGTGTTCAATCACCTACACTAATTATACTATTCAAATTGTGATAAAACTACGTTCTCAATTAAATCTAACAGTTAAAATCGAAAGATTCAAAATAACAGTAGTTTATTAAATGTAAAAAACATCCATATAATATGCTTACGTTGCACATCACACCCCTCATGTTGTCAAATTAATACCACATATAGTACATGGGCATTTTGAAGTATGTTCTGACATTTCTTTATAATTTTGTGCGTAAACATCCGAATTTCATTTAGGGACCAATAAGAAGCATAATTTTTGTTCATTCAGTTTGAAAGTAGGCTGGGTTTATTTTACATATGTCTAAAATTAAATGAATTAGGGAATATTTCTCTTCCACTGCTTTGTTAGCTGGGCAATTAATAATTAATATATAAATAAGTATTATTTTATTAGCTCCATTTTTTTATTTTCTTTTATGTGTTATCTTGTTATTGTAATACATAAGAGGTGTGTAGGGTGAAATTACTCACCAATGAGTAACTAAGCATTGTCCTTTCTTATGATAATCTTAAATTTTAGCAACAATTTTTATAAACATGATTGTTAAATATTTAACAATAATAAAAAATTTTACAAAATTTATCTTCAATTTGTTTTTCCTAAAAAGATATGTATTTGGGGTGTCCCGTATCCACCCGACTTCCGATGCGGGGCATCCTAAACCAAGTTTGGGGGAAAATAAATTTGGTGTGATGGGTTTCAAAAATGAGTGCCCCCGCCCGAACCCGTTCAGTTGACATCCCATGCCTTTCTCTATCTCTATCTCTATCTCTATCTCTATCTCTAAAAGTAATGCCAATGACATGGCTCTGAAGTCATTTGTTCAGTCTGGGTTGTCTTTTACAGAACCTAATGGCAGTATTTTCCAAGAATTTCAGTGTTTTATGTAATTAGAAATTTTTATAAAAATAAAAAATAAATCAGTTGTAAAAAAGTTCTTCTGCATTTACAATTGATTTTTTGTGGCAATCCATTTCTTCTGCATTTATTCACAACAAAAATTAACTTAAAAAAATTAGCCTTTCAACTGCATTCCAAAAATTCAAGTTGCTTTACATAACTCTAATAAATATATATATATATTAGAGTTATATATAGAGAGAGAGTTCGTGCCATATATATGAGTGTGAAGCTTGATATAAAAAAAAACTGAGTTCGTGCCATGTATATGAGTGTGAAGCTTGATATAAAAAAAAACTAACATTCATAGAAAGAAGAAAACAGCGTTCGGGACTGAAGTACAGTCAAAAGTAAAAGAAACTTACTATTGCTTAAAATATAGCAATCATTAGAAATTTAAAATGCTAGTGCTTTAATAACAAAAAATTAAATAAATAAATATTGTTTGTGCTTAGATATTCTTCTTCTTTCTCTTCCAACAAATTTTTTTCCTTCCTACCAAATGGAGCTTTAGCCGCTGCCAAAGCGATGGAAAATATATATTTCCTAATTCACTCAATAGAAGAAATATGTAAAATAATCTCAGACTAATTTCAAAGTGAATGAACAAAAATTATGGTTTTTTATTGATCACTAAATGAAATTCTGATTAAAACAAAACCTAAAATGAAAACTTTTAGTGCCAATTGGAAGTTAGTCTAATTTTATAGCTTATACACTGTGCCATCAATTGCAATAATTAGAGAAGTCATTGAGGTATCTCTATATTATTGAGAACTAATCAGACACATCACACGACACAACATATTTTTAAAGGGGCAAGATTTGACTACTTATCGGTTAGTAGATCAAGTTATTCATACTGATATAATCTAATCACAAATGCATAAATAATTAATTACAAAATTTGAAAAGAGATAAATAAAAATATCAGAGAGGATGACTGAATTTATTCTTTTAAAAGTTATTGTCTTTATTTATGGATTTTCTGATTTTGTAATTACGATTTATTAATACATTTATGATTGGATCACATCAACGGTCAAGATGAATGACCTAATCATTATGAGTAGGCAAGTCTTGTCATATTTAAAAAAATGCGTACCTCTCTCTCTGGTTATTGTATTTCTCTACAATTTTTGGTGTTAATTTACTTAAAATTTTAAAATATTCTTAAAAACAAAATTTTAAAATGTCATTTTGTTCATATATTGAACTAATAAAAGTAGAATTAAAATAGTAGTCATTTAATACATTTGGGGTTAAAGAAACACTAACACGAAATACTACGGATGCTAGTATGCTTCCAGAATTCAAACTAACTACTGATTTGATTGAAAAACTAAAAGTGCCCAGCTTTTCTTTTATTTATTGATATTGACCTCCTCTAGTTTCTATTAGGTCGTGTTTGGAGCAATAGGAGGGAAAAGAAAATAGTAAATCAGGTCGTGTTTGGAGGGAGCAATAGGAGTGAAAAGAAAATTGTAAATCTTAACCTAACATATGAAGATAAATAATAAGTATGAATTATATGGATTTCTCCTATATTTTACCATAATTATTGGGACATTTATTATGGTTAGAGAAATTATACCAATTCGGAATCTTTTCCTAAAAATAAAACCTTGTACATAGACCTCCATCCCTCCCTAGCAAAGGAGCAATAATAAAATTATCCTATAATTATGACCTCCCTCTTTAGTAAAAGACCGTCAAGTGGAATAACAAACTTATCCTATAATTATGACCTCCCTCCTGTCAAATGAAATAACAAACTTATCCTATAATTATGACAAATTATAAAAAAAGTCCCTGTAATATATAATAATAATTTAACATGCCGATTTTATAATAATAATTTAACATCTTAGCATGTTTAGTTGATTAAGAAAGATAAATAATTTTAACGCAAAGTGATAAGATAAAATTACATATAGTGTATATATATATATATATATATATATATATATTAGAAGTCTTCTGGTTGGATGACACCCACTTGTATCAACACAACATATTTCGTACTAAAACTTTCTTGCTATCCAACTTCGCCACACGAGAGCAAGCAAAACTAATCACTAATTTTTATTTGTTATAAAGTAGGCAGAAAACAACTAATAAAAACAAACAGTTTCTTCCAAATAATTCATTTTGTCTTCCACTAATTTCCATCAAAACAAACAGCCCTTCTGTTGGATTTGCAATGTAGAAAATTAGAAAGGCTAATCCGCCCAAAACTTAATTTGGGTCAGTCAGGCCCGGACCCACCTACCTTAATTTCAACATTTCTCTCTCTACAACCCTATTCGCGACACACACAAACACCTAAAACCCCTAATAAAACCCCGCAACACATTTCTCATTTCATTTCTCTCAGACTCTCTCACACCTGCGTCTGCTGTACCATGGCTTCAGTCGCATTCAGAAACCCTAACGCTAAGCGACTCGTACCACTATCTACTCAAATCCACAACTCATGTCGAAGTTCGATCTCCTCTCAGTTCTCAATTTCAGAATCTGGAAATGGGAGAGCTTCAATCCCCATTCCATGGTGGAGATCCATGGCCACCTTCACTCGCACGTAAGCTTCAAATCCGATTCCTTTTATATACGTCTATTTGCATATACTTAAGTTAATGTTTCTTCAAATTCGCTGTATTTGGTTAATGGATTAGATGGTGTATATTGACTTTTTAGCTTAGCCTTTTCGAGTGATCTCTATCTTTGTTATATATATATATAAATGATCTCAGTTCTTGCTGGATTGGATGGTTTGGATTTGGAGGCCATCATAATTCTAATAAAATACAAGACCAATTGTACCTCCTAAGATTTAACTCGAGCAACGGTACTGAAAAACTGAAAGCTATCACATTACTGAAGTTGCAGATAATTAGGACATTTTTAGTACGACAGAATTGGGCATGTCAGATTTTTACATACAGGACAAATACCCAGTGCACTCTTTGAAAGCCTGGGCTGTTGTCCTCCCTGATAGGTTTTGCTTGAACCATATGGTGTTTATTAGTGGTTTTACTAAAATTTCTTTTACAAGTACTTAGTTTTGTCCGTGTGTGAAAATTGTTTGTAATAAATAATTTATTGAACCTCTGTCGAGCTCCAAATGAATCTTTCTGTTTAGAAAAGAATTTAAAAGCTAGAAGAAGAGCTACTTTTTTTTTTTTTTTTTTTTTTCTTTTGCATTTTAGGTAAAGTTGTTAACTGGATCTTATCATATCTATTTTATGTTTTCTGTTGCCAACAGAAAACCTCATGTTAATGTGGGAACAATTGGGCATGTTGATCATGGGAAGACTACATTGACTGCCGCAATCACAAAGGTTAGGCTATAGCTGACTATGTCAGTCTGTTTGTTGTTTCCTTTCATGATTTTATTCATTTATTTAGGATAAGTTTACATTTCACTATTTTCATTGGACAACTAAGAACTGAATTATTTAATGAATTATATGTATAGTATAGTGTGTATATCTTTATCTTAACTAGCCTCTAAGATGGTAATGTGCATTCTTTAGGTGCTATCAGAAGAAGGGAAAGCCAAGGCTATTGCCTTTGATGAAATAGACAAGGCCCCTGAAGAAAAAAAGAGAGGAATCACCATTGCCACGGTTGGAATATCTTTTATTTTTAAATTCTTGCATGCCATTATGCTGGACATAATTTAGGAGCAGACTCTGTCTTGCTATTCAAAATGTCAGACAAACTCATATTCACAAACTATGTTTCCATATTGAGCTCTTGACTCCAACAATAATTTGGTATTGCAGGCCCACGTGGAGTATGAGACTGGTAAAAGGCATTATGCACATGTTGATTGTCCAGGACATGCAGATTATGTTAAAGTAAGCTGTAAAATTGATATTATGTTGTGTGAAGTAAATACGATGGCATTGTTGACTTTTTGTTGTCACTACATCATAATGCAAGGTACCCAAATGGGCCGCTTTTTTTTTGGAGAGGGAAGGAATATGTGTATTATGAAGACAAGGGCAAAAAAATATGCTTCGGACACTCTTGAGTTGCAGATTATTACACTAGATATTTTATTAGAGACCTCAGCATTTCATTTTCCTTCCGTGAAATGATTTTTGCCTCCACTGTTTGGTAGAAAAGAGGCTTGTTGTTAGAGTACCCGAAACTCAATTAACATTTCATTTTGGTGTCACACAATTCTTTATATCGTGCATTAGTCTGGCATCACAAATTTATGATTGCACAAGTGGGATTGTAGTAGGAATGTCCTTTTATTAGTTGAACTTTTGTAAAGCTCTACCTTATCTCTCTCTCTTTTTTTGGGTCACCAGCTGCTATATATTTGTTTCTTTATCAGTTTTCAGTTAAGTATCTACAGATTGAATGTGTACAAGTATGATTCTTTACTTTGTGGTTTTATAAGCCTGGTAAATCAGTGTCCGCTTTTGTTAATTGGAGCTGTGCCTAAGGCGCTTAAGAGAAAATCCAGATTTAACTCCTCTTTATCATATGAGGGTGGCTTGATTTCTTAAATCCAAACAATTTTTTTTGAATAACAAAGAAAAATTTAGAGAGGGGAGAATTAAATCCATGGTGGAACTATGTCTAGCATTATTATTTTTATTTATTTTTTTGATAAGTAACTTTGTCTAGCATTATGAAAGCTTGAAATTTATTAGTAAAAAAGTTAGAGAGACAAGAAAAGAGCCCGGGGGGGGGGGGGGGGGGGGGGGTAAGGGGAGGGGGGCGGCGGCTTGCAGCTGGGTTTGTTCTTTGGTTGGGTTCGTGATAGTATAGGGTTGGAAAATTGACATATTTAGGGAGAGATCTTTTGATATAGATGTTCTATCATATTAGGTTGCAGTCAAAATTTAACATATCATATTATTACTGCCAATGCTACATAAGCATATGGTTTATATAGGGTCAGGTTGTTCAATCTCTCAGCACAGCCTAACATGAGTCCTGAATGTCAAGATTAGGTTTCAGCGAAAGTCTAACCCCAAGCGTCAAATAAGTTTTCCAAGCCTGCACTCAGGTTGGTCTTGATTGAACCCAACCATCTTGCAGCCCTATTAACTTTTCGGTATCGAATGTGCTCATTATGCATACATCTCAACATTTTGTTCAAATAATTTGATTTGAAGGTCTCTAGCAAGCTTAAGTGTTGATTCCTTAATATTTTAAAATTTTAATTGATTCTTTAAATTCTCTTTTAGTTGTACTTATCCCCCCCCCCCCCAAAAAAAAAAAAAAAAAAAGAGGAGAAAAAAAAAAAGCAAAAGGAAGAAAAGCTCTTCTTTGTACAGGCTATGTATTTGTGCAGTCACCTGATGATTTCTTTTGATTTGCAGAACATGATCACTGGAGCTGCCCAAATGGATGGCGGTATTCTTGTTGTATCTGCCCCTGATGGACCCATGCCACAGACGAAGGAACATATTTTACTTGCACGGCAGGTGTGTGTCTATATTTAGCAACATGTAATACATTTTTAACTTGTATGTTTAGTCTTAGACACTGTGATGGTACATTTATGCTTATACAATCCATTCTGTTGCATTGTACAGGTTGGTGTGCCTCAACTTGTGTGTTTCCTAAATAAAGTTGATGCTGTTGATGACCCAGAGTTACTGGAACTTGTGGAAATGGAGCTCCGTGGTAAGGTGGCTTTTGAGTTAACTTTGTTAATGCGTATCTGTTATTTGATTTAATGATATCATAACTGCACTTAAGAATGTCTCACTTGAGCTTATAATTGTGGCAGAGCTTCTTAACTTCTACAAGTTTCCTGGGGATGAAATCCCTATCATCCGAGGTTCAGCTTTGTCCGCTTTACAGGGTACAAGTGAAGAAATAGGAAAAAAGGCAATTTTAAAATTAATGGATGCTGTAGATGAGTACATCCCCGACCCTGTACGCCAACTTGACAAGCCTTTTCTAATGCCAATTGAAGATGTTTTCTCAATTCAGGTAATTGGGCATGTATTTGGTATTTTTGTTTCAAGCAAGAAACCATGTTGCTGCAAAGAGGATTTTATTTTATTAATGTGTGTGTGTGTGTATATATATTGATGAATCAAGAGGGGGAGGGGGTGAATTGGTTCTTCTTCTTTCTTTAAAAACTTAGACACTTTTCACAACCAAATAGAACACCACAGCGAGCTTAAGGCATTCACACTACACATAACAAACCAAACACATGAAACCCTAAACACTTGGACTCTTTTCACAACCAAATAGAACACCACAGCAAGCTTAAGTCATTCACACTTCACATAACAAACCAAACACATGAACCCTAATCTGTCACAAATGTTTGTTGAAATTCCACAGCCACAAAGACACCAAGTTTTTACAAGGAAAATCCCCCTCAATAGGGATAAAAAAAAAAAAAACCTTGTGGGCTTCACCCAAAATCATCCACTAGTTGTATGCAAGTTACACTCTCACACTCTGCACACACCCTAGCTCACCTTTGTGCACACAACACTCCCACTGTCCTAAGCACCCCTGCTTGGACCAATACAGCTTTCACGGCTCTTCAAGTACATGATAAAATCATAAAACATGAACATACATCTTACAATAGCTGTTACAAGAAATCAGAATGAAAACACAGTTAGAAGATGAATACGGTACTAAAGTACTTGAACAGTTTCTGCAGAATTAAGGTATGAGTACTTAAAATAAAATGCAGCTTCAATACAGACCCAAACTTGATTCCCACAACCTTATCTCACCAAAATACACTTGCTCATATCATAAACCATAGAGTATAGCAAGGTATGACAGTATCAACATAATGAAAGGCTTGTTTTCTGCAGAAAATATAAACTGGCTAGGTTTGAAGGTTCAAATCCAGAAATGACCATAGCATAGCTCAAATCTCAACTTAGACAGCTTCAAAATGATAAAGTAAACTTGCTCAAATGATAAACATAGTAGTCACAGCAAGATATCAACATCTTGTACTCAAATCAGAAGCTATGCACCAGAAAATGGTAAAAAAACGAGGTATGAGGACTCAGATGAAATTGCAGTGAAATGAAGAAAATAAAATGGTAAAAAACTGAGGTACGAGGACTCAAATGAAATTGCAGTGAAATGAAGAACAATAAAATGGTTTCTGCAGATGTCAAATGTCAAAACAAACTTGCCTCAACCTTCTTGGAGCCCTGGAGATGCCTCAAAACAGTTGTGACCCCTGAACCATCATTCTGCGCCAGAAAACAACTTCAAAAGGCCTTATGTTTGATTTCCATATGAACACACTTAGTGTAAAGATTTCTGAGATGAATTAAAACTCACACAATGGATCTAAAACTCAGAAATGCTCATCTTCATTTGTTTCTCGAGTGTCTCACATAGTGCAGCTCCAAAACAACTCTCAAAGCTTACAAGAGGCGCACACACACAAGGCTGCTATAATGTTATATGTTGGGATTTGTGTCTCAAATTCTTACTCTAATTATGTTTCTATTTTAGAGTTGTATTCTGTTCGGTAATCCTTGTCCAACAAGGAATTGGGTTTGGAACTCTATAAATAGATACATAGGCTTTGGGTTGAGACTTATGAGAATGAGAGAGATGTAGTCTCATGAGGGAGTTGATGGGTGAAGGTAGTATGTGGGTTGGTATAGTAGGAAAAACATCGGTGACACTGGTAGCGAGGAAATAGGCTCGTGGAGTGGTGGTGTTGGTACTCTATTATTGTAATATCTCTACGAATCATAGTGGAATCTTTTCTCATCTATGGACGTATACCGGTTTTGGCTGAACCATGTATATCATGTGTTTATGTGATTGCTTTGTTGGCTTTCGTTAGATCTTAGTTATTCGCGCGCTTCCGCTGCCCTAACAAATTGGTATCAGAGTCAAAGGTGAAGGAGATCCAAAAAAACACAAGAAGTCTCAACATGTGCTACAGGAGTCAATCGGCTTAGTTACATGGCATGGAGCTCGAGTAGTCAAGGTGGAACCTTGGAGGTTTGATTGATCGAGCAATGTATAATGTGGACAATCAGAGTTTTGCAGGAGTATCGTCAAGGTGGAAGCTGCAAAAGAATTGTCATGATCAATGCCATGGGAAGCAATAATTGGTTGGATGAAATTTGAGCCAAGGTGGAGATTGTTGGGATTTGTGTCTCAAATTACTACTCTAATTATGTTTATATTTTAGATTTGTATTATGTTTGGTAATCCTTGTCCAACAAGGAATTGGGTTTGGAACTCTATAAATATATACATGGGCTCTGGGTTGAGTATGAGATTGAGAGAGATGTAGTCTCATAAGGGAGTTGATGGGTAGAGGTAGTATGCGGGTTGGTAGAGTACGAAAAACACCAGTGACGCTGGCAGCGAGTAAATAGGCTCGTGGAGTGGGGGTTTTGGTACTCGATTGTTGTAATATCTCTACGAATCATAGTGGATTCTCTTCTCATCTATGGACGCAGGCTGGTTTTGGCTGAACCATGTATATCTTGTGGTTATGTGCGATTGCTTTGTTGGCTTTCATTGGATCTTACTTAGTTGTGCGCTTCCGCTGCCCCAACAGTATATATATAATGGTACATGTGTGATGATGCAGCCCTAGAAATGGATAGAATTGTGCTGCATTCCTCCAATCATTTGAGAGGAGAATATTTCGAACATTCCCAGTGTGAAAGGACCACTTTGCCCTTGCCAACCTAACCTATTTTGTCCCGTAGTGCAGTGTATAAACATAATGCATAGTATATGTATAGGTCTGTGATACAAAATGTGACTTGTTGCCAAAGAATTGTGCAACTGTTATAGAATTCTCTCTGAAGGACCACATTACACGTGTCAAGCATGTGCACTAACACAAAATTACAAAAATGCCCTTGAAAGGACAGATGTCATTTTAAACCAGAATTGTGACCTATCCAGCCTGTAAGAAAGATCAATGATACAATGTACCCTCCTCAATGAATTTTAAATGGACTCACACATACTAGAAAATACCAGACTGCCCCTGAAGATACCAGAAATGATCAATGCATACCAGAACTTGTAAATATACAGCAAAAATGGACGTGTGAGCACACTTTTGACATTATAAAGGCAAACCATTAATTAAAGGCTGGGACCAACATATATATATATATATATATATATATATTTTATAAAAAAAATCTTTCATCAATACTTAGTTTTGCCTTCATTGGTTTGGGTCTTTCCAAATTCCTTGGAAGAAATATTCTTAAATGGCGTGGAATACTTTCTTTCAATGCATTTGTTAAGTGTTTTCTCAATATGATGAATAAGTTATTTGCTTCAATAATTCTGTTGCTTCTGTTATGTTATTTTTATTATTTGATGAAATCAATTGTTTTGAGTTTTACCATGAAAATTTGGGTAAGAAAGTGTATGTTATGCTAAGAAGCACGGACACGGATACGGGACACGGATACGACACGACACGGACACGGCGACACGGCAAATCCAAAAAAATTAGGACTAGGACACGGACACGGCGAATAGTATGTGTATATATATATATATATATATATATATATATATATATATATATATATATATCAGCATTAATAATTTAAAAAAAAAAAACACTGATATGTTTAGGTTGGAATATATATATATATCACTGATATGTTAGTATATATATATATCAGCATCTTTAGGACACGGACACGGCGAATTGTGGCATCTTTAGGTTAGTATATATATATATATCAGCATCTTTAGGGTAGTACAAACAAAAAATAGAACATATCAGCATTAAAAATTAAAAAAAAAAAAAAAAAAAAAAAAAAATTAACATATCAGCATTAAAAATTTTAAAAAAAAAAAAAAAAAATCCAGAAAAGTGTGTCCGAGCCGTGTCTGTGCTATGTCCAAGCTGTGTCCGAGCCGTGTCCGAAAATTAAAAAAAATAAAAAAATTCCAGACACGTTTTTTGGCGTGTCCGACACGTGTCGGGGCGTGTCCGACGCATGTCTGTGTCCGACACGTGTCGGACACGGATTCTTTGCCCATTTTGGAGTGTCTGTGCTTCCTAGATGTTATGCCTGTTATTTTGTTTTACCATGAAAATTTTGTTATTTTGTTCAAGTTTGTTGGAATGATCTGCACTTCATGATGTCGTCTTCAGTTCTTTTTGACATTCTTGTAAGATTCTTTTTATTTGCAAGAGAGAGTTTTTCCTCAAAGCTTACTGTCCAATACAGCTTCAATTAATTTTCTATTTGTTTTTTAAAGGGACGTGGAACTGTTGCCACTGGTCGTGTTGAACAAGGGATAATTAAAATCGGTGATGAAGTTGAGGTTTTAGGTCTGATGCAGGTGAATCTATAAACCAAAATTTGGATATTTTATTGTTTCTCATAAATTCTTATTTTGATAAGTCTCGTCTATCATAAATTCTGAGCCTGATGATTTTGTTTAGCAACCCGTGTAATGAGAATGTCATCAGCACTAAGAGCTGTTTTTATTTTATCTCATAACAATGTTTGCCTAAAGGTCCTCCTATGGTGTTTATAGTTAAACTTTATGTTATGAAATAGTTGAACCTAACATTGATTTTTCCATTGCAGGCTCCTTTAAAATCTACGGTGACTGGTGTTGAGATGTTCAAGAAAATCTTGGATTGTGGACAAGTGAGTAACTGATTTAAACAAAATACCGTAAAAATATAAGTTACTAAGGCTGTTGTATCACACTCAGCTGGTATTGAACTATTGCAAGCTTTTGTGTTTTACTAGGCTGGTGACAATGTGGGTCTTCTTTTACGTGGTTTAAAACGAGATGATATACAGCGGGGACAGGTATGTGGTCCATCAGATCACAAAGTTATTTACTGGAACCTGTAGCTCAATATAGAGACTTTATCTATAACTTGAAAGAAATTGAGTGGCTTATTATGTGTTTCCGAAGAAAAACCATTTCAATTCATCCAACATTCATTTTTTAGTTACAATATTTGGGATCAATCTTTTAGTGTTAATAATATGGACAAGTTTCTTTTGATCTGCGTAAATAAAACACACACAACCAACCATTTCTTTATATATTTTTGATTGGTGATGTCTGATGCATTAAAGCCATGAAATGGTCAGCTTCTCGGTGTTGGAAAGTTCTATTAGAAATATGTGATGAAACTGAGGTCCAATTTTGGCAGCAAATGTGAGGATGAATCATACGAGAATATACCTCACTACTTTTCTTGTATCATGTAGGTAATTGCTAAACCTGGTACCGTGAAAACATACAAGAGGTTTGAGGCGGAGATATATGTCCTCACAAAGGAAGAAGGTGGACGTCATACTGCTTTTTTCTCGAACTACATGCCTCAGTTTTACATGAGGACTGCAGATATCACTGGTAAGGTAGAGTTGCCAGAAAATGTTAAGATGGTTATGCCTGGGGACAACGTGACTGCTGTTTTTGAGCTGATTTCACAAGTTCCTCTTGAAGCAGGTGTGTTTAACTTATTGAGACCATCTTTAAGCTGTGTTAAGAGATATTACAATTGCATGAGCATTCCCCCCCTCCCCGGAGAAGTGCAATTGCATGAACCTTTTACATGTATTTATAATCTTTCAGTCATTCCAAATTTCCAAGAGTTTTTGGTTAATAAATACTTAACTCTAGAAGTGTTTTAAGTTTTTTTTTTTTAAAAATCATCGTGACATTTTCTTTTGTTGTTTGAATGAATATAACTAGGAAACTACTTCCTCGAGAACAAGTATAGGTATCTTCATGCTTACAGAAATATTAACGTTGTCTGATTTTCCTTGGAAGTTACTGCTTTTGTTATGTACTGGTGAAGTTTTTGGGCTAATCTTTTATAGATTTTGGTATCCCCATATTTATATGCCATGCATTGAAATATATATGTAACATGGCGACTCGAGAAATTTATAACCTCGTCCCACCACCCCACCCCAAAGGAAAAAAGAAGAAAAATAGCAAGAAAAGAAAAGAAAATATCATGCAGCTCTTGTTCTTCAATAGGTTTTTTTCTAGTGTTTCTTTGTCTCGTTTCTTGGATTTTGCTGTGAAGCTGTCTTATTTATAGCATATTTGGTAATTTATTCTTCAAGAATAGATTTTGTTGGGTAAGAATCAGAAAACAGCAGGATCTAAATTTGTTGCTTGTTATCTGGCAGGACAAAGATTTGCCTTGAGGGAAGGAGGTAGAACAGTTGGTGCAGGGGTAGTTTCTAAAGTGATTAGCTGAGATATACCTACCACTAGCGGATCTCTTGGGCTTTTTCTGCCCGGTGGTTCGGAAGAAGAGCGTTTAAAAAATTCTGGATCCGTATGTTGGAAATTCATTTCGTTGGTAATTGCAATCACGGGTGATATTTGGTGCGAGATCTGTTCTTGGCATTATTAAATAGACTACTGGCACCGAAATTGAACATAATTTAAAGAAAACTCACCTTCGGTGTTCCTTTGTAATTCATAAATAAATATTTTTTTTGCTGAGCAGTACCAAACCTGATGCTGCTAGACTGCTAGTGGAGGGTTCTGAACACCAAGCTAATAATTTTTGTTTAATTTAATGATTAATTTTTTTGGTTTCTTTGTCCGTTGTTTTCTGGCTCATGCATGCATTATTATTATTATTATTTCAAATTGTAATTATGCATGAAGATAGTCAAATGTACGCGACCTTACCTTACTATAGAGGGTCGAGTACAGGAAGCCTTACCATGGAGTGTTACAATTATAAATATGAACTAAATTTATGCTGCAAAATTGCACAACAATTAAAATGTTTTCATTATGGTTGGTTGGGGTTAAGGCCTAGTCCCGCGTTGATATTGTCCATGACTAGGACTGCGAAATATCGAGTCTCATTGAAGTTTCGAGTCTTATAAGTACTCGGCAACTTACAACACTAATGTACACTGCAATATGTTCGCATAAAGATCCACATTAGGCTTCTAGAATGGAAGTCTTAGTCTGACATAACTCATGGCTAAGCACAAGTTCGAAGAATAGGTACAAACTCTCCCTAGGTCACACATCTTTTTACCTAAAAAATATTTGGATACTTCGGGATTGAAATGTTCTGCGTTACATAAATACACCACCGTAAGGGGGAATATATATATATATATATATATATATATATATATATCAATAAAAAATAAGACCCAATATATCTAACATAAGAAAAATGAAATAAAAGGAAGTTTTATTTCCATGCAAGAAAATGTATTATGTGCTGCAAGTTTTTTGTTTCAGAAGTCAGCTAAGAAATCCACCTCTCAATATAACACTTCAATTGGAAAAAAGATTAACCTACACAAAATTTAGTTGACTGGTAATCAGGTAGAGTCTGAACTCATGACCTTGAGGGATGGTTCCCGGATTGCTCATCATTTCCTCTTCTTCCGAATCTTAATTTGCTCGAATTCTTGCAAATATAAATAACTGTTTCTCTAAGCTCACTTAATGCCTAGATAGCCAACCCAATCCAAACCCAAGGCGGAGTTTGGAAATCCAGAAAGCAATGCTTTACATAGCTCTATGAATGCCACTGTCATTAAAAGCGCAGCTATGACAAAAACTTCATTCACACTTCTATCCAGTTTGCTCATCATTTCCTCTTCTTCCAAACCTATTTTTCTAAAATTCTTGCGGATATAAATAACTGTGTCTCTAAGCCCACTTACTGCCCAAGATAACCAAACCAATCCGAACCCAAAGCCGGTTTTGGAAGCCCAGAAAGCAACACCCCTCCCACATGCTAATTTAACAATGACAGACAAGAGAACACCGATACCAGTCCAGGCAATTCTGACTGACAACTTATTCAGGAGCTGAGGAAGTTCGGAACCAGATTTCTTGAGCAAAAGGACAGCTTTTTTCGCATTGCGCCTCCTTTCTATCATTATGGTCAGAAGATTTTCAAATGTGTCCAAGAAGGGCCTATCGCAATGAGATCTTTGTACCTGTTTTCTCATTGGTCTTCTTTTGTGATGATGGCTTGAGTTTGATTTTCTCAGGACTGCAAAAAAGGTGCTCACATCAGGCTAAAAGCATAATCAGACTAATACCTTGTGCCCTGCACAAGGTATTGCCTAACCATGAGTGCACAGACCAAAGAAACCTTTTAATACAGAAATTTATTTTAATTGTAAGATACATGAAGCATATAAATTTGCCTGAAATGTGGCACTTAAGAGGGAACTTAATCAATGGCCACTCAAAAAAATCAGTATACAGGCGTAGCCAAAAAAAGGAAAAGAAGAAAATCAGAGGTGGTAAGAGAATCACAACTTCTTTAGTTCATTGCCTGAAATATCTGATGAATGACTGGAAAATTACAAAGGCAAGCATAATCATTCTCCGTGGTTGCAATAAATTTGTCTCATCTCTTTGTATCTTATCAACCTTCACCTTTTGAATCTTAGCCTAATAGAGTATCCGGTATCATTTTCAATAATATATGGTACATTTTCAATTATTTATGCAGCACCTAAATGACATTTATTTGTTTTTAAGTTTTTCTTGTAATCACTTCTCAAACTACGGCCTACGTAAAAGGTATAATAAGGGGGAGGTTTAGGAAGATCAAAATGGGAATTGCAACACAAATGCCTTTTCAGAAACCGGAGCTGCTTGGTGGGTCAATTTTAAATGGGATATTTAGAGGAAGCTAGAAACCTATTCCAAGGAAATAACTCGGAGTGGTTTTTGAAATCTCTTTACCGGTAAACAGTACTTCAATTACACAAAACACTTTAGAACCCCAATTCTATCCCCATAAAATAAAATTTTGTAGCCATGCCTTATATATTCAATTCAGTTAAAAAACTATCTTAAGATTAGATTTTGGATTAGATGTCATGAATAGTCATTTTTGGGCACATTTTTCTTGGTGCACTCTTAATTCTCAAGTGTTGATCTAATCTTTAATACTTAAATTTCTGAATGGCAAACCATAAGAGGTCACACAGCCCACATCCTCAGTCCCCTATTGATGTCTAATCCAGACAACTCATGCATGGGATGAAAAATGAATAGTTTTAGGCACGCGTGCTTAGACATCACCAGTGCTGAGCCTGAAAATTAAGCTACTCTCCTAGAATGATAAAGGAGGGATGCTTTTTTCCAATTCTCGTCTTGTTTACCATACATGACATTTACAAGACATTTAACGCTTTCTGAAATAATATCCAAAGATCTTTCCCGCTTTTCCACTTTCTTGGAGACATTCTTTTTGTGATATACTACTGCTGTTGGCAAATTTTGCTTTCAACACTGAGTAAGATAAGGCAAATAACTAACATCTAACCCTAAATTATAAAGACAAAAGATATACAAGTTGAGATCACTTATGTTAAGCTCGTCACTACCCAACCGAGTTAGTCAGACAACCATATTATCTTCATCATGTCAAAATTAAGAAAATTATCAAAGCTTACCAACCATCCATGTCTAATTTATCATCTACCATGGTTCCTAATTGATGTATTGGCCAATGACAGCAGACTCACAACAATGGGAAGTTAAAAATGATTGATTTTTTTTTTTTCTAGAAGACTGTAGGTACCTTGTTAGAGGAGCAATTCTCACAGTTTCAAGATTCAAAGAAGTCGTGTCCATATTAGCTCTTGGTTCACTGCTATCCAGCCTGTTCATTAAAATTATTGCAGGGTAAGTTGCTTTAAGAAAAATATTATGCATAATGAGTTTAAAAAGTAAAAATCTAAAATCTAATTAAAACAAGAAAAGACAGCTGTCACAGTCAATATTAATGAAACATGAAAGAGATTACATTGAGGAATTCTAATGTTACAGAATGAATAATACACACCAAATTAATTGTACCTTAAATTTTATTTTTATTTAGAAAAAATAAAACAAAAACCAAATTATTCATAGATAAGGAATTTCACTTCAATATCCCATATAGCTTCTATCTATTTTGTTTTTGGAATGAGATGTAAATATGTAGTCAAAAAGAAAATTCAGCAGGGGTAGAGAAAGTGGGAATATTTAAAGAATAAATTGAGAGTAATCAGCATAATTTAAAAATGATAAGTCAAGTCAACAACTAAAAGGTAAATAGAACACTTGAAAAGACGGGAAATAATATATTTGTACAACATGATAAAATATCTATATAGGAAAACTTTGAAATATGTAAGAATTGGATGGTAAATAAACTTATTGATAAAAAATTTGAAAGAGAACACAATGCCAAATAAATGTAGGAAAAGCATTATAATTATATAACACCGGTTTATCAAATAAGGGAAACATCTAAAATTGTGACAAGTATAGAGGAATCAAATTAGCAAGTTACGCTATGAAACTATCGGAAAGTATAATAGAGCAACGGTCAGGGAAAAAATCAATAGCTTATGATAACCAATTTGGATTTATGCTAGGAGATCCACTATGAAGGCCATATACTTAGTCAATTTATGTAGACTACAAAAGTAAAAAATAAAATTTACACATGATTTTTATAGCTTAGAGAAGGCATACGACGGGATTTCGAGAGATAATTTGGTGGGCCCTATAAAAAACTGAAATTATCTTGGATATTTATAGGGATGCAAGGACTATATTTTCACTATTGTGTGAATAAACTAATACTTTTCCAGTAAAAATTAGGTTTGCACAACAATAAGTTCTTAAGCTCATATATGTCCACAACGGTTTTTGATAAAATAAAAAAATATATCTATGGAGACATCTCAAGGTGTCTATTGTTTGCTGATGACATGGATTTCTTAGATACTTATAAGGAAGTCTAGAAATAGAAATTGAAATATAGAGAAAATCATTAAAGTCAAAAACTGTGAAAATTAGTATAATCAAAACATAATATATGGAATTTAAATTAAAGAAAGATACAGGGAATGACAATGTAACAATACAAGCGCCAGACATGTCAAATTCCCAAACAGGACACTCGGACACTACTAAAAGTTCATGTTATCTATTATTTGTATTTTATTTTATAGAGTAAAATAATGTCTTTATGTTTCATAGTGTTAACATAGGCATTTCACTCATTTTGAATGAATAATATAATAAAATTGAATCATTGGGTATGCTTTTTAGGTGCATGTCCAACCCATGTGTGTTTGACATCGGTATTTCATCCACTTTTGAAGAGTCCAAGTAATATAGGCCACGACATCATGAAACGAAAAGCTATAAACAGGAGTACATGGCTGTTGATGCACATCAATTCTCAGTGCTGGTAGCAACATCAAGTTAGAGAGTGAATAAATCTAGTCCACCTCATTCTGCTTCACTTAATCTGGACATAAAGAACTGCAGGATCTTTTCATGTCTTATATGTTCAGCAATCCTGACGCTGAAGAGTATAGAGCTCAGGTGAGTACCTGTGGCCGAAATAAGTAAGTTTATAAGATTACTTGAGCTAGTGCAACTAAAGAGAGTGTATGAAGAATAAGACAGTATGCATAAACAGCAATGGAAATCTCAATGAAATGTATGCATAAACGGCAATGGAAATCTCAATGAAACATTAGTTTAGCAAGTATATAAGAGTACTTGAGCTTGTGCAACTAAAGAGAGTGTATGAAGATTAAGACAGTGTGCTTAAACGGCAATGGAAATCTCAATAAAACATATGCATAAACGGAAATGAAAATCTCAATGGAACATTAGTTCAATTTCATAAAATGATATCGCGCTTGTTGTAAAATGGGATCAATAATACCAACCAAGTAAAATTAGATTGACCAAATTTCATAATTTTGTTATGTGTAAGTCTTCAAATGGAGCTTTTATTTACAACAACATATTTTCAAACAATTACTGATCTTTAAGAAGTAAGTGCGGGAAAAAAAAAAAATTCAATAAATAAAAACAGAATCTAGTGAGCTGTGAACCTTGCAAATTGACTACTGTGTCTTCTCATACTTGAGTCAATTCTGAAAAAAATGGTTAGTGTCTGACAAACAACTTAAGTGTTTCCTTAGGTCCTCACTCTGGTGCAGCCTTGCATTAAGGGAGCCTGACCTTGTTAACTATAACCAAGAAAAAAAATAAATTAATACAAATACTAATAATCTGTACCATTATATGATCCAGTGACTGAGTTAGAAGTATATAAAGTTAATAACACAACTGAAAGTATAAAAAAAATTTAAAATAAATGGCTACAAAATTAAGAAAGACAACATAATTGATATAAAAAGAAAAATAATGATTCAAAACTGTAACCCTTGTAACACTGATTGACAGACATAGTTACAATTTTAAGCAGAAACATTTATCATCAAAAACTAATGCTTAGACTTCCATCAATTGGTACAAAAACCTATAGGCATCGACAGTTTAACACTTATTAGATTTGGCACAAGTACAAAATGTTTGACCTTTAACAGCACTATTTCTTCAAACATCATTTAACAAAGCGGAGAAATATAAAAAAAAATTAAATAATACTAACAAACGAAACCCAAAAAGAAAGAGTTGTAACAGTATAGAATAAACATGCAGACCAACATATACTTTAGCTTACATTTCTGAGAAGTTAAATTACCACTAAATGAGAACTTCAATTACCAATAAATAAAATCAGGATCAATCACAGAATGACCAAAACCAGAAAAATAAATCCAGCAGAACTGCAACATGATAGAACATTGTAATCACTAAGAAATGAACCAACATAAAGAAAAAAAAATGCATAACTAAAATAAACAGGATTTGAACACCCGACACCAAATTAAATAAATTGGAGAAATTGACATGAAAATCACAAAAATGTACCAAACATAAGCTCAATAAGCCCAGCAGAACTATAACACAAAAAGAACATGCCAAATCACAACTAACGCATTCACCGAATAAAACCCAATTAAAACTATAACAAATCTCAGCAACCCAGTTCAAAAATACCAAATTAAATCAATAATAAACGTGTAAAAGCATCGGTAATTTACCTTTGAGACCTTGCACATGCCTTGATTCTGGTGAAAAACAAGGACAGAAGCGTACCCATGTGAAGCCATCAGACTGAGCTCCACCATATCTCAGAGAAAACCAGTTAAATCTCTCATTTGTATATGGGTCACAAATTCACAATACCTTGAACTCATCCAACCTCATAACTCAAAATTTATACATATTTTAGGGTTTGCAGTGGCAAAAAGGAGAATCCCAGTTGGGATTCTGAATCAGAACCATCGGGTGACTCGTTCCTGTTGCATCTTTTGGGAATTGAGTAAATTTCCAGTGTGTTTTCTTCTATCGTAATACTTTGCGTCTGCTTTTGTCGGACAATCTTGACCGTCCAAGTACTAGAACTATGTGTAACTCTCTGAGTCAATCATTGAGAGCTTAGACGTTTGTTGTTAACGGTTTAAGTAATGCTGTGATATCACAGTTTTTTGTTTTTTTATTATCAGTGCAATGTTTGTCAAATGTTATTATTAGGATCTTGGATTATATATATATATATATATATATATATATTAGGATCTTCCACCTTTCAAGTTGTTTTCATCCTTACAGAATTGTCATGTATGTATATATATGTGGCTAACATATCTTTCATAATTGTCATCTAAACAAGGCCTTAAATAGTTTAAAAAGGTCAAACTGCCTCCTTAATATTAAAATTAATTTTATTATAAAATATCATACATGTTAAAAAATCAAAATTACTCTTGAGTTAATATAAGTCCCAAAATGGCGCCAATTTATTTTGCTAAAATTCATTAATTTCTCTAAGGTATTTTAATATTTCGATTGCTATGAAATTTGTACCAAAGGCTCCTCTGCATGCCTAGTTACTTTTTGAAAAATTTCGGAATTTTTTACCAAACAAATATTTTTATAAAAATTCGACAATAGTTGCTTTATGTAATTTTTCACTTTTTTAAAATCAGGTTATTTATTTATTTATTTGATAGCCTTCTAGACATTGGATCATCACCATATTTTTTGGTTTTATACTTCCTTAAGTATATTATCCAAAACATTTTTGTTTGTTCCGTTTCGATTTCAAACCAATTTTCTATGAATTTGTTATTCACTACTGTACATATTTTCCCTCTAACTCAGCACTTTAACTATTTTGCATCAAATGTTAAGAGGGGTAAATTACCCCAATTCATTAAGTTGGAAAGTTAAAAAAGTCCACTAAACAGTCAAACAGCAAATTGGTCGATTCTTTATATGTTATATGTGGCAAGTGGCTACAAGAGATGTCTTCGTTAGCTTTTTCAAATTTCAAGAGGTCGTCATTGTAAAAAAAATAACCAATTTATATATGACTGTCAATATGACAAACCTTAAAGGTTATTGTACTTTACCTAAAAACTTAACTTCAATGAACCATATTTTATTTGGACTAAAGTTCTTTTTATTTCAAATTCATTAATTTATCCCTATAGTTTTTGGTAGGGTGATTATTTGGTAAATTTTTAATATACTTTTATTTATTATTATTTTTTGTCATTGGCAAAAAACTCACACATCCACTTTGTTCTCCTGAAGACTCGAACCATCACCATCCCACCTTGGGAGGTTGAAGAAATATTACAATGCCCTTGATTTTTAATATATAAATATGTCACAAAAAAATGATATATTTATATAGAAATATATGCAATTTTTAATCTTATAATTTAGAGTGATTCTATGCAATCAACCCATTTATGAAAAATTACTTACAATACATTGAAAAAGTGAATGAATTTGAAATCCAACAATCAAGTATTTTAGAATTTGACCGTTTTAATGGACTGTATTTGTTTCTAGCGAGTGAAGATAACACATGTTATTATGTGTTATTAATCTAATCATTAAAATAAAACTTATCCCATTAATTAACAATAAAAATACAACTTCAAAACTGACAGATCGAAAATTTCTTGAACAACAAAAACAAAAATATGAGCTTGACATAGAGATTCTTTGGTTTATGCCTTTATGGGTATGGTCCTATCGAGATAGGTTTATAATTTTTATTGTTATCTCCCTATTTTTATTATGAATTTTCAATAAAATGTCACAAGATTTTTATTTTTTTTATAGAAAAAGTTATTACCAAGTCTTAATTTTTTCATTGAAAGACAAATAATAAGTCTTAAATAAATTAAGCTCCTAAATTTTATTTTATTTTAAGTCCTAAATCACTAAATCTTTCATTTATATCCTTTTAAAATTTTGTAGTTATAAGTTTGTTCAAGAATTGATATATAGTTATATAGTCTATTATATATATATATATATATGTATATATTTAAGTTTTAGATACTTAATAATATTGCATTATTAGTTTAAATAATAATTAATCTAATTTAAATTCAACTAAGAACATTTTGTATATAAACACCATTTTAGTACCAAAAAAAATTGATTATTCTATAATGGAAAAAAAAACGTACTTTTTGTATTTTTATTCAAATTTTATTTCTAATTTTGTTAGCATGAAAGTTTTGGTCTAAATTTTATAACTAATTTAAACATAATATATTTAATTTAGTAAGACTATAAAAGAAGAATTTAGTGATTTAAGAATTAAATAGAAAAAATCTCAGAAGTACCACTTATTAATTTTAATTATTATTTTTTATTTTTTAAAAAAACACCTATTTGTCAGACAAGAAGAACTTGGCGGTATATATATATATACTGTATGTTTTTCTTTCTTTTTATTTTTTATTTTGTGTCGCAAAACTCACAGTGTCCATCTCATACACCATGGAAATCAATGGAATTACTTAAAGACCCCTCTGTTTGACAGCTGTCACATAGTTACGCAAGGTCCGTGTGTTTACATTGCGTCAGTATGCACAGGTTCACACCTCTCTCCAATAATTCACTGTCGGAACAGCGGTTATTTATACCCCCCACTAACGATCATTTTATGTCTCGTCTCTCTCTCTCTCTCTCTCTAAAAAGTCATTCTATTTATATTTTTAATTCTTTGTCTCCCTTCGTCGTCGTCTCTCTCTGTCTACACCGAAACCCTAGAAATTCATCTTCCAGAATCTGCAGAAGCTTCGTTAACAGTAACCCTTGATTTTCAACCGTTTCGTTTCTCAGATAAAGCATCGCTCAAAGCCCTAATTCGAAGTCCAAACCAGTCCAATTCGTTTCAATTTCGCTTATGAATCCTAGATCTGATCGGAATTGACATTTTTTTCATTCGATTCATTCAATTCCAAGCCCCATCCAATTCGAATACCGAATTGGTGTGGACAATTCTGGAAAATTTAGAGCGTTAGATTCGTTAATTGTGTATGGGCATGGGAAGGGTTTACAGAGAAACCTCCAAGCCCTCGTCGTCTTCATCGCCTCCGGCACCACAGGTGACGACTTCGACGTCAGTCATCGAAACTGTGAATGGTTCGCATGATTTCAAGATCAATGGGTACTCGCTTTCGAAGGGGATGGGGATTGGGAAGTACATAGCGTCTGATACGTTCATCGTCGGTGGCTACGGTTGGGCTATTTACTTCTACCCGGACGGGAAGAGCTTGGAGGACAATTCGACGTACGTGTCCCTCTTCATCGCCCTCGCAAGTGAGGGTACGGATGTGAGGGCGCTTTTTGAATTGACGCTTTTGGACCAGAGCGGGAAGGAGAGGCATAAGGTGCACAGCCATTTCGGAAGGGCGTTGGAGAGTGGCCCGTACACTCTCAAATACCGTGGAAGCATGTGGTAAGTTTCAGAGCTTTGGGGGTTTTCAAATTAGGGGAGGTTGTGTTGTATTTTGCTTTTCCTGCTTGGTTGGTTATTGCATATTGGTTGGTCTCTGTTCGTTTGATGTATTAATTTTGCTTTCCAAGATATCATTTTTAGTGTGGCTTACAGCAATAAATTCATGGCTCATTTACATCAAGGATTTTATTAAATAAAAAATATGAAAATTGACGAATAATTTAATATATGGACCATTTGGTCAAGCACAATTGATTATAGATTGAATTTTCAACAGTAACTCTAAAGCTATTCCGAAATGTTCAGATCAAATATGGTACTTTATTTAAATATGTTTGTTCTCAAGTGTGGAAAGAATTATTTGGTCCATTCGGGTTTGGTTTAGTTTTCTGAAAACAGTTCAGAACTCAGAAAACTGTTTTCAGAGAATTGTACTATGAGCTGGTTGTTTCAGTTTTCTAAAAACAGTTTTGCAGAACTTGGAAAACAAAAAACTGTTTTCGGAGTATTGTACTTAGGTCTGCTTGGTTCAGTTTTCTAAAAACGGTTTTCAAAAAACTATAAAAAGACAGTAAAATATTCATTTTGTTAACTAAGATTTCAGAAAACGGTAAACAGTTTTCTGAAACTGTCAGTCAAACAGATTTTTAAGATTTTCATTTTTCAGTTCTATGAAAATTGAAAACTGTTTTAAGAAAATTGAACCAAGCAGTCTCAGTTATTTACCAGTAAATTGTTTTTATACACCTGGCAAGAGGGACATGCATCGAGTTATCATACTTGTTCTTCTCGGTTATGTTTGTCTTTATGCATTTGATCTCATTTCATCATCACCTTTTTTCTTTCAAGACTATGTACTTTTTTTTTTTGATGTGTCATTTTAACATTATATACCACTGTGTTCACAAATATACTATGTATGAATTTTTTTAAAGAAATTGAAGCATGAATTTTTTTATCAGAAACTTTTCCTCTGTATGAGTGTGCGCACACAGGCACATTCTTGTGTTAGTTAGGAGCTTATCTATGTAGTTATGATCTATAGTATACTAGAAAATACTTCTCACCTCCCAATAACTGTCATACACTTATGCATGAAACTGACACAAAATTTATACATATATGGTACTTCTAACTTCATGCAAAACTGACCTTTCGGAAAAAAAAAAGGAACTTCATTAAATGTGGACCCAAGATTTTCTAGAATGTGATTTGCTTGTTTATGTGATTAGTTTGATTTTTCTTTGTTTAGCGAAATGGTTATGGTGTAGGCGGTTGAAGTGGAAGATATTGTTTTTCTACGTTCATTGATCAATGTCTCTTGCAGCATGATATGCATGTATGTTTACTTGTTTTAGTTTTTATTTGTTCTAATGGCTAGACATGATTCTCGTGAGGCAAAAGACCCTTGTGCTTAATGTGTATATGTTTAATCTGTGGTTCCTCTGCACTATTGAAAATAAATAATGTGATTGTGTAAGTTGGTAGAAACATGATTTAGACAGCATTGATTGAATTCATGGGAATCCCAGGCCTGTTAGCAATTTCTGCTAGATATTATTTCTTTATACCCTTTGGGGGTGTATTTAACCATGACCTTCAGTTTGGTACAGCATAATGAGTTTGATTATTGGATGCTGCAGGGGTTATAAGCGGTTTTTCAGAAGAACTTCTTTAGAGACCTCAGACTACCTGAAAGATGACTGCCTTTCAGTTCATTGCAGTGTCGGTGTTGTTAGGTCACGCACAGAGGGTCCTAAGGTATACCATATACCAGTACCACCATCTGACATTGGTCAACATTTTGGGCAGCTACTGGAAAATGGAAAGGGCATTGATGTAAAATTTGAAGTGAATGGAGAAACCTTTGCTGCTCACAAGTTAGTGCTTGCAGCTCGTTCACCTGTGTTCAAGGCTCAACTTTTTGGTCCAATGAAGGATCAGAACACCCAGTGTATAAAAATTGAAGACATGGAGGCACCAGTTTTTAAGGTTAACTACTTTTTCAATTATTCTTGTTTATACAATTTTATCTATTATCCAAGTTGTGTGTTACTCTATGTCATGTATAGATGCTATCATTATTTTCTGTAGATTTCTTCCATAACCCTATCATGATTGGATTATATAGACCCCATTTACATATCAATCAGTTCTTTTGTGTATATTATTTGGTGTGCTTCTTTTAACTTATATCTTTGAACGGTAAGTTGTACTTCTGATCTTTTAGCAAACAGATAAGAATCACTGCTGATGCAGTCTGAATTCACTCGTTTGTAGGTCAATGTGGCAAACCTTTTGTGGTGGTTGGGGAGCCATTTACCTGGCACCTCAAGTGTAACAATCTAGATTCTAGTAACTGCTAGACTGGGTTCTGGAGTTGTTATTCGATAGAGATGTACAGGCCCCTGCAAATATTGCTAATGACTGTTCTGTAAGTTTTTGAGGGAACTAGAAGAGTAGAGGATGTGAGTTGTAATCCTGGATAAGAAAGAAAGAGATCCGGGTCCTGCTTTTTTTACCAGTGATTAATGTGGAATTGTGGTGATTTAATTATGCCACAACCCTCTTTTTATTTTTTAAAGCGTACTGTTTTGTTATTTGTTTCATGTGGATGGGATGTTCTTCCCAGATCTCCCACATTATTACCTTTTCATGTCCCATCATGCTATTCTTGACACTGGGGAGGGGAGGGGAAGGGAGGGAGGGAAGGATTCAAATATACTTGGGCTCTAAGGTTTCCGTTTGTTTTGGAACAAAATTCCCTGATTCGTTGTGCGCATAAATGAGTAACATTTTTAAATAAATATGTGTCAAATGTGATTTAAGAAAATGGAGCACGAACAAATTTATTATGGAACAGTATAGTCAATATTCGCAACTAGTGCCTACAGTGTCTAGCATGGAGTTTGCAGGCTTTTATAAGAAAATTTGACGCAGTTATTGGTATGCAAGATTGCAATTGTGTGAAGATCAGAACATCTTTAATTTCTGAACAAATCTATATTAAGGTATCACCGAGCGGTCATTTAGGGGCCTTACTATCAGGGCTGTTTCCCTCTCGGCAATAAAAGATTGGCTGTTGGCTGACCTTGACCCCTGTTATTTATTTTGAGGTCATATTTAGTATTCAGAGTTTACTTGGATTGGTATTGCTAATATTGTCGATTTAAATTAAGCAGTCTTACCAACTTGATCAATGGACAAATCACTTCCAAATTAAAAAAATACATATATCAGTTTTGTTACTCAGGTCCCCTTCTTCTTGACAGTTGACTATATTAAATACCCATTGGTGTGCAGCTATTGTAAAATTCTCTAATATTAATTTATTGCATTGCGTATTCTGATTTAAACAATCATTCAAAGGTTCCAATAATGAGGATATTGAGTTAAATCTCTGTTAAGAAGATAATCTTGATTAACTAGGGAAGTAAGAGAACATTTACTGCAAAAGCACTCTCACAATAAACAATCATTACAGTATATAAGAGCATTGATGGTCATCATTTAGGGAAAAAAAAAAATGTAATTGAAAGCCATCAAATGGAGCAATTAGAAAACGATGCCTATTGTACACTTTGACTATTGTTGAAGGGGCACACTTTTTTTCTTTTTTACCCGAGCAGCTAACTGAATGTAAACCCTTTTTTTTTTTTCGTCAAGGCGAATTGTTAGGACTTGCAGGTTTGGCGTTCCAATTATGCTTATGTTTCATCATGTCATGTCAATTTAGTCCACTTATCAGTTGACATACCAATCCAATTTGCAGATTCTAATTGGTATGAATGCATGCCCAAATTATATTTTCAAAGCTATTAAATTGTGTACTACTTATAGAATATATGAAGCAAGGATAAAAGGTATAACCTGTCAGAGAATACATATGAATCTAAGTGTAATTATGCTATGATTTTATTGTCTGTGGTCATGTTTGTTGGTGTTACACGATGATTGTACAGAGGGATAGCATTAGGATTTTACATTTTTTTTTGTTTTGTTTTGTTTTTGTTTTTGTTTTTGTTTTTGCTTTTGTTTGACTCTATTCAAGTGCTTATTCAGAACATAAATGACCTCTCTTTCAAGTTCATTTATTGTTTATGTGGCAAAGTTCATGTTAATTTGTAAAGAACAAGTTCGCATGGAATTTTTGTTTGAAGGCGACTTGTGTGTTGTGTTGCTTCTTTACCCTGTTTTTGATTTTTGCAGGCTTTACTTCATGTTATATATTGGGATACGCTGCCTGACATGGAAGAGCTTACTGGTTTGAACTCGAAATGGGCTTCTACATGGATGTCTCAGCATCTGCTGGCAGCTGCAGATCGGTATGGTTTAGAGAGGCTCAGGCTGCTCTGTGAGGCTATTCTCTGTGACGATGTTGCCATAAACACTGTGGCAACTACATTAGCCCTTGCAGAGCAGCACCACTGTCTCCAGTTGAAATCTGTGTGTCTTAAATTTGTTGCAATGCCTGAAAATCTCAGAGGTGAATTTCGGCTTATCAAATACCAAAAAAGAAGAATAATTTCATCTCTTCATATTCTTTTTGACCTTATCTTTAATAAGTTATTATGTAACGACTGGAGTTTGAGAAGCAATAAATTGCTTATCTACATTAAAATTTCCAGTGAAGTTAGTACATCAGTAATGGCTGGTAAACAATCTGTTGAAGATTGTGTCACATTTAAAAATGCGCAACGTTAAAAGAAAACCATTTTTTAGCTGATGACTGATTTAGAGGTTTTGTATAAATATTTTTGCAACTTCCTTTGGTGGGTGATTTAATGGTGGACACCAGCTGTTGAAAATGTCCTAAGAAGGCATTGAAAATGAGTAGACTAAAAGACTACTTGGTATAGTTAGTCACTTGATGAAAGCCCACAAACTGCCTTTTGACATTGCATGTCATAGCGGGACTCAGCTTTTCAAATTATTAACTGGTGTCTCTGAAACCCTACCTTTTATACTTACTGAAAGGAAAGTACCTCATGGTTTAAATGGTTTCCTACATAAATTTATGTCAATATTGTCGCATGAATAAATATGTAGTAGTTGTCTAGTTGTAATTACAATGGGCTTATAATAAGCGAATGTGGGTTTGTGGAAATTTGTTTTACACTATTCAATGCTTACTCAATGGGTAATATTAAACTGATGCCATTGCCCGAAGTTTTGTTATGATGAGCTGAACGAACGTGTTGTGTTTTTGTTTTTCAGCTGTGATGCAGACGGATGGTTTCGAGTACTTGAAGGTAAGTTGCCCTTCTGTCTTGACTGAACTCTTGGAGTACGTGGCTAGGATCAGCGAGCACTCTGTCATCATCAGCAGGCATGGGAATGAAGCTCTTCTTGATGGCAGTGATGTTAATGGAAGGCGGGTGAAGCAAAGGCTGTTGTGAAACTGCTTTCTTTGTATTCTCTTTGTAACACTCAAAAAAAAGAAAAATGTAGCAGTAGAAAGCCTGTCTAGGAATTTTCTAATTTGTCAGAGATGTAAATTTAGTGGTTTTCTGTCTCCTTCGTTGTGTTGTAATGTGAAACCCTCTTCTAGTACGCGCACTCCATTCTTTTTCCTTTTTGTTGTTCTCTTCTTTGTAAACTGATTTGTGTGTATGGCTGCTCTAATTTGAGGCATAAGATGCATTTTTTATCTGCAACTAATGTCAACAGTCCTTGCATCTCTCTCTCTCTTTCTGATGACGATGCTCACTACTTTATTATCTTGTACTCAGTGAGGAAAGTTAGCGTCTCTCTCTCTCTCTCTCTCACACACACACACGAACACAAACATTTAGCACTAATAGTTCTTTGGGAGCACCGAATCGGTGGTGGTTTTGGATTTGAGGTTGAATTTGCACTAAATTTGTTTTAATCTCAAATTCAAGGCTCCAATTGGGCGGCTGATTTGAAGTTGAATTTGCACTAAATTTGTTCTAATCTCAAATTCAAGGCTCCAATTCGATTCGCCAAACATAGCATTAGATTTCCCTGTTCAAAATTACTAGAATAGGATTGTGAAAGTGTATGGGAAAGAAGGTGCATTTAAACACTGAGAAGAGAATTCCGAGAGAGGGCATCCTCAGACGAAAGGACCATTGCGCTGGACTTCACTCTTTTGCCAACTAAAGCCTTATTTCAGACCAAGCAAAATTTATTTTTATTACGAATTATACTAATAAAAAAGAATGAAAAAAAGTTAATTTAGGGCTAAAAAGCATTCATTTAAAATGGGAACTGTGAGACCTATTCAGCCCAGCATTTGGGTTAAAATTCTGGGGCTAAAAAACATTTTCCATATAATTTAAGGACAAACAAACAACCGTGATCTTTCATATGTAACCAAAAACAAACCCTCCTAGAGGACAAAAAAAGAAAAAAAACCTCCTAGGGTCACTTCAGTAATATCAGACATTCACACCAATTGCTATTAAACGGTCCCCATTCTACTACATAAAGTCTTCGGCATCAGTTTAGCTCGATCTTCGACTTCGAAGCTTAGAACATAGTGGAAAAGGAGAGATTTTCCCAGAAAAAGAATGGTAATTTTCTTTCCCTTTCTTCTTCCTTTTCTCGTTTCGTCCTCCCGCTAAATTTTTATTGATATTTATCTCGTAAGACTTCTTGGGTTTTCCATCTTACCCTCTTTTCCCTAATTTTTTTGGTATCTTTTAACAAATTTTATTGAAATTCCTTTTGTTTTTGTTTAAAATCTCTTTGATTGATTCCAATTTTTCATGGGTTTTCCAAAATCCATCTTTTTTGTTTCTCATTCTTCTTGATTTATTTGAATGCAGTTGTTCTTCTCATACTTCAAGGACTTGGTAGGCAGAGAAGTGACTGTGGAGCTGAAGAACGATCTGGCTATTCGAGGCACTCTTCACTCGGTCGATCAGTACCTCAACATCAAGCTCGAGAACACTAGGGTTGTCGATCAAGACAAGTATCCTCACATGGTACTCTCTCTCTCTCTCTTTTATACAATTTTTAGGGTTTCCTTTTTGTTCTATTAAATTATTTTCAATGTTTGTTTAGTTTGAACAATTGGTCCTTGAAATTGATGGGTTTATGGTTTGTTTCATTGTTTTCTATTACTGGCATGAATTTGTAATCGGATATTATTGAATGCGATATTGCAATGCTGAATTCTAACTTTTGGAGGACATTATAGGGTTAAATGGGTTTTTAATTATTTGATGTGGAAGTGTAGGGTTTAGGGGGGTTAAGGAGTTCAAGAAAAAAAAATTCTAGCTTTGAATTTTTGTCTCCATGCCAATTTTAATATACATATATATGGAAATTTGATTTTTGTTTTTGTTTTTTATTCCATGGTTTTGTGATAGACACACAGATGGGAAGACAAGCTTAATTGGGACAGTAGTTTGAGAATTTTTTATTGGGATCTGCAAAGGCCTTTTAACTTATTGAGAATTTTTTTGTATATTGTGGTATTTCTTTTGTTCTGGGTGATTTTCATATTGAATAAGGAATTAGTAGTTTATGGTTTTGGTTAATTGGTAGTAGGTTCTGATACTATTGTATTTGTTTGTGACATTGCAATGTTAAATTCTAACATCTGGAGTACAGATGTAGTGTGAAAACCTAGGGCTTACCGGTTAATTAGAGACATTATAGAGTTATATGGGTATTTAATTATTTGATGTTGAAGTGTAGGGTTTAGGGGTTAAAGGATTGAAGTAAAAAAATCAAAATTTTGGCTTTGAAATTTGTCCAATGTTAGGATAAATATTGATGGGTTTGATTTAGTTTTTCTAATTCGTGGTTTTGATGAAGAGTCTGAAGACATGGTTAATTGGGATTGGAGTTTGAGAATTTTTTTATTGGGATTTGTAAAGGCCTTTTAAGTTTTTGTGTCTGCACGTGCATGCAAGCATAGATATCTTGAAGTATGTTCTGGTAGTCTTTCTTTTGTTCTGATTGAATTCGTATTGAATAAGGATTATGATTTTGATTAATTGTAGTATAATCTGATATACCTCTAACTTTTACGCATAATAATGTTGTTCTCACCTCCTTCAACCCCTCCTCCTACTCCTCTCTTTTCCTCACAAGCTCAATGTCAAGGTTCAGCCATATTGGCTATTTAACCAGTGCTTGACTGTCTCTCCATCAAACAGGATTTACTGCATTCAATCAATGTCTAAAGAACTTCCATGTAAATTCTTAGATGTTGGTGAAGTTTAAACCAAAAAAATTAGCTGCCTTTTTATTAACGAAGCCTTGGAAACCAAGGCTAATAAAAAAATGTGAATATGAATTTTTTTGTTTTGCTGATACTTAATATTTTTGAATCTAGTGCTTGCTACTTACTATAGGTGCGTACGGATGGGCTGATGGGTTAAGGATTTGTATTGTCATTTGATTGGTGTACCTATTCTTATCCGTGATTCCATGTTGATTTTTAAACATGTGCATAAGAGATCAAATGAAACAACTTTGACAAAAAAAATGTTCTTGAACTTCTGTTTCCAATAACCTTGCAACCCTGCAAGCTTAATAGCTCTGAAAACAACATAAAAACGAAACCTCCTCTCCCACTCCAAAATACACACGTAGTATGCACAAGCATGGTTGTGTGATTCTTTGGCTTTGGCTCTGCTAGCTTATAAATGTGGTCTCTTGGTTATCATTGGGTGAGCTGCTAGCAGTTGTGCAGGCCTTCTGTTGTGGTTCACTGATCGAGATGTTGATTATTTGCACCTTTTCTATTTTATTTTTGTTTTTATATTTTGTGGCAAGTGGATATGATCTATGGGGACTAAAAGGCTGTCATTCAAGCTTCTCGTGAGAATTGAACTACGCATATTGTTTACACTATCAAAATGCCTGACCAATTAAGTTGGTTTACATACATAGTCTTGGTTGCTTGTTGACTCAACTAGCATTGATTATGATCTTTTGAGCCTGGTGTTTGTTGGTGTTAGATTTTTTTCTCTCATTTTTTGTTTTGTTTTGTTTCTGCCATATACTTGTTTTCTGTAATATTAGTAAGATACTCAGAGTATTGATAGTTATTTTTGCTATATGGCAGCTTTCAGTGAGGAACTGCTTCATCAGAGGATCTGTGGTGAGATACGTTCAATTGCCGCCAGAGGGAGTTGACATTGAACTACTTCATGACGCCACAAGAAGAGAAGCTCGGGGTGGCTAAAATTCCCTACTCATAATTCACTGTAATATTTTTTTTTAATATTATGACTGGATACATTTGGATGTAGTAGTTTTCCTGTTTTGAAATAGCCTACTTTTGGTATTCCAATGACAAAATTTCTACCATGTACTCGTATCCTCGGAATAGCTTTTTATTATGGAATATTTCATCTAGTTTTTCTGGGTAATGGAAAAACTTGAGTTTCTCTGTTTCGATGGACTTTTGGTAGAGAGACCATGTTTTAGAAAAGAATATTTGCGTCATTTCGATACATTGATTTTAATGGCTAGACCTTAGTCACACAATTCGTTCAAGCTCCGCACGCGAATTTGCGATTTGAGAGCGAATCCGTACAAAATTTGCAAATTCAATTTTTGCAATTTGTGAGTTTGTTTTCCTAATTCCCCACCAACACACACACACACATATATTAATTATACATGTTTGAAAATATACCACTAAAAAACTTTCTAATTGGAGAATATTACAAATGAATCATGCATCTATTATTGAGAAAAGTTAGCTTATTTATTACATATATCATTAATGGAATAAATAATAATGAATATATTTGTATATGGATTTAAATAAATAAAAAAATATAAAATATATATGTCATGAGTTAATATAATTTTATTTAAACTTAATATATTCCCACTTCTAAATAAAAAAATCTAGACTTTGACGTGCTCGGTGTAACCTAGGGCTAGACCAATTAATCAAACAAACATAGAATTCGGTATCGTTAACACTGCTGTCAACGAATGAAAGGCAGAATTTGATTTGTCCAGGTCTGTGCTACTACTGCCCAAAGGCTTTGAATGAAACCTTAGATTATTAGGTTGAAATTCACATACAGATGAAGCAGATGGGTTAGTCTTGATTGCATTTGGATAAATATTGTGTGTATGTAAGCACTGAACTATAGTGCAATTACTATGGAAAGTGAAAAACATTCTGAGTTGTCTCTGTTTCACTACAGTGTGGGCTAACTATTATCATCAGTGACAGTATCAGTATGCAACTGCATGGAGGCATGGACCTTCTCAACGAAGACATGAACCTGCAGAAATCAGCATCTATTGGTTGCCTAAACAGAGTTACAGAAATCACCAAATTCATATTGGACTAGTGCTTTCTTTGGTAGGAAGGAAGAAAGACGTACGGAAAGAAAATAGGAAGGAAGGAAGAAAATTTCGAAGGAAAGAAAAGTGGACCATTATAGAAATTTAAAATTAATATTATCCCAAGTTACATAACTTTTAAATTAGAGTATTAACTTCTATAAATTATAATATTATAGCTATTGGTAAAAACAATTTAAAACATTATATTTATTCTCCCCTGCTACCCAACTGAATAAAAAAAAAAATGGTGTATTGTGTGTATATATGGACCGATATACGTTATATTTGACCGTTTTAAGTACTAAGGATTCTCATGATACCCTTTAAAGCAATATTAATTAGAGTAGTTTACTCATCATTTAAGACAGTTTAGGAGTCAAAAATGAATAATTAGTTAACTTCTATATTTTTCATCCTAAAATCATGGAATGTATTTAGATTCCATGTGTTCAAGCCAATAATGATAAGGAACCGTAATCCCTCAAAATAGGTGATAAGGCTTTGATCTTTTATCATTTCCTGAGGTCTACTATAACTTATCACCATGCTCTAATTTTTTCTCATAACCGTTTAAACCTCCCCAAATATGTTAGATCACTTTCTTAAATTTGATTTCTTCTTCCTTTTTTGTGGATTATCAATATGGAATGTGTAATATATTTTTGATAATTAAAGTAACCCGATATTCATTTCTAAATTTAATTCATGGATCAATCCCACTGATCATTTATAAATACCACCGGCCTGTCTCTTTTTGGAACTTCGAAAACATCAAGAAAAGCCATTCATATTCTTAGTCAAAACTCTCATAGATGGACCCTAATGCTATCAATTTGGTATGCATATATATACATATATTCATCTTTCCTTCACTATGTTTACTCAACTAATTTTCAATGGATTTTATATGCATATACAATATGATAAATATATATAATTTTGGTGTTTTTGGTTACTTTATTGTGTTCTTGATTGTATTGTTGGACATTAATTTTGATTGTATTATCGCAGAATCGCCATAGCAGACGCAAAAATCTCTATCTAGATGGTAGCCAATATCACCATGGTGTTTGGTAATGGCTGCGTGCATCCAAGGGACACTGCCGGGACGGTCTGGGACCATCCCGGTGGACATCCCTACCGGGAGGGCCTTGGCTACAACTACTCCCCATCTCACGGAGATGAATGGCCGGGGTACAACCAGAATTATGGATATAGGCAGCAACATATTCAACCCATTGTTCATGAAAGGCCACTGCATCCATATGACTACTATGATCCAAGAATGTTGGCTCCTGCAAATACTGGCTATTATTCCCAAAGGCCTATGGCCGTGGTTGATAATGTAACACACTTTTTCAGCGACGAAAACACCAGAGGTTGCAGTATTATGTGAGCAGCTCTGAGGACTACTACATGAGCGTTCCTAATTTTGTGAACTTTGATTTTTAATCTTTTTGAGATGAAGACATTAGTGGATTGTCATAGGAGGATTTATTAATTTTTTGAATCCTTTTTAAGAAATTAATTAAGTGGAATATTAGTGATAAGCCTTGTGTTTGTAGGAGTGTTTATCATGTGCCTTTTATGTGTTAGATGTGATAATTATATGAACTACTAGAAATGGTGAGCACGTTGATGTGCTGGTAGATTGGGGATGTTTTGATTGAATCTTCAACAATTGTGGGCACACTAATGGACACCCATGAAGATGGTTTTTTTTTTTTTGTGTTCCACTTATATTGCTTTAATATTTCAAAGTTATAAAAATAGACCTCTAATGTGGGATATAGGTAATATATAAATATATAAAATGAATATGACATCAAATGATTCAAAAAAATAAAAAATGATAGTGAGTCAAAGTTTTCAAAATTGACAACTATTATGGGCGGAGGTAGCATCTGATAAATAATTTGAATATAAATTTGAGGAATTGAGATTATTTGACGTCAAAATACTCCATCTGTCCCAAAAAAAATGCTTTTTTTGGAAAAGTAAAAATTTTTAAAGAGACATGTGGGCTATATATTGTCTCACTAAAAAGTTACTAACTTATTCTTTTAAGTTTTGAATATTCAAGTTTGACATTTTAAATTTCATGAAAAGATATAAAATATATTATTTGAAAAAAAAGAAAGTGAACAAATATTTTGGGACAACCCAAAAATAAAAAATGGACATTCTTTTTTGAACAGAGGAAATATTATTTTGATGAATAACCCAAAAAAAAAAAAAAAAAAAGAAAGTTCTATTCAAAGATGAGTTGAATACGAGTTACCGGGTTCAAGTACACTCGATCCATGCGGGTCATCTCATTTATCTTCCTCGATTCAATAAAATAATAATTGTGCGAGCGTCGTCACACAATTATTGTTCCTTGCACAGAAATAGAAAGGGTTTTTGGCTTTTACAGGGTCGAGTACCGGAGTGATGATACCCCCATACTCTAAACCCTAACCCATCGTCATCCAATCTCGATTCCAGTTCCATTGTACTACTTATATATATCTATAGTTATCGGTATTAATTAGTTTGTTTGCTGCGTTTTCGTTCCCGTCATTTTCAGCTCCTCACTGCATGGATTACAAAGCAGATGACCTGCCTAAAACCCTAATAACGACAAGGTTTCTCTCTCTCTTCATTTGAGGCTTTTGCAGTGTTGTTCTCACTGTGATTCTACTAATGAATATTCATGATTTGCTTTCTGTAATTCAAATGCAAGTTAATTACATCTCGCTCTTTTACTAAATTATGCTTAGCGAATTTCCAAAAAAAAAAAATTTATGCTTAATGTAGATTTGGCCAGACAATCATCATGGTCGGCCTAAATTATGTCTTAGATTTTCACTATATTGTGCCACATTATCCTTTTAAGTTTGCAAGTTGGCTGTAGAACCTTGTAGCTTAAATTACAATTGACGGAATTAGCTTGTACACTTGATTCAATTGAGTTTGTTTCCTGGCAGTCATCGTGATTAATCTGACTAAATAGTGCAGATTTGAGAGATTCATGGTGTATTGGAACTAGTTTTTATTTCCTGGTACCTTTGGTACTATCTCAAACTTTCTTTTTAGAATTTTTAAAGTTAAAATTTTCACTCATTCAATATTCTTTATTACCCTTTGATGTAAAGTTTATTATCAGACTCTATGATCAACAACACTTGTGGGATCATATTATTTTAAGCTTAAAGATTGAATTAGTTTATGAATTTTGTTTAATTCTGTTATTTTTGTGGCCTATAGTCCAAATCAAATCGCTTATATGTATGCTGAAATTTTTTGTGGAACAATTCAATCTTTTGTGTGTGATGTTACATTTATTGACTAGTTATGCATGGATGCATGTTGTGCATGTTTTGTCTCCATATTCATGCAGTTGCTGGTTGTTACAATTTTGCAATAGAATCCGAGTCAATGTGTGGCCATATGTAGATACATGGTAAAAAAGTTGTTATTAAAATTATTAGATTTATAATAAAAGTATGGTCTGGTGGAGATACATATTTTGTGGAATAGAAATCTTAACTGTTCATTTTTTTTTTAGTTGGCACCAGAACTCCCTTGGGCAAGGCCCTTTGGACCCACCCCAAGGTACAAACTGGGGATGCTGCAGCCGACCCCACAGTTACAGCACCAGGTTAGTCAGGGGCTATAATGGAGCGTTGGGGAGGCAAACCCTGGACAGATGAGAACCAGGGCCCTCTTAATTGTTCATTTTTTGTTGCCTAATAACGTATTGAATTGTGATGATTTTTTTATTATTTTATTTTAAAAAGGCATTTACACCATTCGAAGGTGAAATAACAAACATAGCGACCCAAGAACAAACCCTAGCTCTCGCTCTCGCTCTCATTCCTTGGGTTTTCAGTGTCCTCTCATTACCCAATCCAAACCCTAAACGCCTTTATATATCGGTTTACAATAGAGTACTAAATAGGGTCCACGACCTGCAAGTGAATAAACGAGTCAAAAAATTTCTCTCGTGGGCGCTACCCCCTGAACCCCCATGGCTTTAGTGGGATTGAGGCCCCCACAAAGCTTGTTTTTGGGTTGAAACGCGTCCTGGGCCAAAACAAAATTCAGGCCACAACATCACAGATCTCTACCTTGACTCGAATTCCACCAAGCTCGATGATCCCAATTACTCCTTTCGCCTCTCCATATGCCCCTATGGGCCTCAGCAACTACAAACACCAATTAAGTTCACTTGATAGTAGGAATGACCTTAGTCATCATATCCGTCGGATTCTCTGTTGTCCCTATCTACCTCACTGCAATAACACCCAGTGCAATCACATTTTTGATGAAGTGCAATGTATGTCACTCTGGCTGTTGCAAGCCCGAATCATTAACCAAGCCTCTCAGCCATATAGCTTCCTTCGTTGCCTCTATGTCTCCCATGTACTCAGTCTCAGCAGTAGACGATGCAACTGTGGACTGCAAAGTCACCTTCCAACTGATTACACTCCCACAAAGAGCGAAGACATACACTCTCAGGACCTCCTCATATCAAGATCTCCTGCATAATCCAAATCAACATGCCCAACATCACTCCCATACGTGTCGTTGCCTCTGCATAGACTAAGCCAACATTTGCAGTGCCTCGCAAGTACCGCAATATTCATTTCACAGCCTGCCAATAGACCTTCCCAGGTCTATCCTTGTATTTGCTCAGTACACTAATCGCATGTGAAATGTTTGGCCTAGTGCACACCATAGAATACATGATGCTACCAACTACACTACTATAAGGAACACGAGACGTGCTCCATCTCTTCATTGGTCTGTGGTGACAGTCGTGTCTAAAGTCTAAAGTGGGTTGCCAATGGAGTACTCACAGTCTTTAATGCTTGCATATCGAAGTGTTCCAGCACCTTTGTCAATGTATTTTCTCTGTGACAAATACAATATGTCCGCTCCTCTATCCCTATGAATTTTCATACCCAAAATCCTTTTTGCGGCACCAAAATCCTTCATCTCAAATTCTACACTAAGTTAAGGCTTCAACATGTTGATTTATGAAATGTCCCTACAACAAGTACAAATACGAACTATCTTAGCTCACTCTTGCTATAGACACTCCCAACCATAAAGGTGTCAAATCACTTGTACTATTGTCTACGAGACTGCTTCAACCCATATAAGGACTTCTTCGGTAGGCAAACATGGCTTTCCTTTCTCAGAATCTCAATCGCCTCAGGATCATGCATATAAATTTGCTCTTCCAACTCCCATGCAAGAACGTAGTATTGACATCAAGCTGCTCAAGCTCCAAGTCATACATACCAATCATATCAAGTAACAACACCCTGATTTAGCTATGTTTCACCATAGGAGAAAAAGCCTTCATTGAAGTTCGTCCCTTTATTTTTTGTGTTTTGCCCTTCGCCACCAAACGTGTCTTAAACCTGTACCTTCCACTCTTGGGATTCCTTCCTTCTTCTTGAAGATCCATTTATAGCCCACAATCTTCTGGCTTTTAGGATTCTCAATTAGCTCCCAAGTTTGGTTCTTATGAAGAGACTCAATCTCCTCACTCATCGCACCAGACCACTGTGCTAATTCTCCACCTATCATGGCCTCATGATAAGTATGTGGTACCTGCTCATCAATACCCTTTGCCACACTAAGTGCATAAGTAACCGAATCAACATTAGAAAACCCATACTTCTGAGATGGCCTAGTGTCCCTCCTCAGCCTGTCTCTTACCAAACTGTATTGTTGCAACTGTGCATCTTCTTTCTCAGACCAAAACTGCACCTGCTTAGCATTCGACCAATCAAGAACATCCTTTAACTAAACCTGTAAATGCTCCACTTGCTCACCAACACCCTGAGCTTTTGCTGAATCAACTACCTTCTTCTATGGAGTAAGCATCGCAGGCTCATGAAAGGTCACATCCCTGCTAACAAGTAACTTCTTTCCCTAAGCATCTGGGCACCAAAATCTTTATCCCTTGACCTCAGGGTCATAACCAAGATGTATGCATATCTTTTCCCTCGGTTCAAGCTTTCCCTCATATGCATACGCTTAAATATTCGTGTATTCTCATATTACTATAACTAGCAGGAGAACCAAACCATACCTCCTTTGAAGTCTTAGAGTCGATAGCAGTCGGTGGAATCTGGTTCACCAATTAACAAGCTGTGCTAACAGCTTCAGCCCATGACACTTTGCCTAACCCAGCATTGGACAGCATGCACTATGCTCTCTCCAACAGTGTTCTATTCATCCGTTCTGCAACTCCATCCAGGTTCAGAGTTTTTCTCAATGTGCAGCGTCTCGCAATCCTGTAATCTTTGCATAACTCATTAATTTTTTCGTCACAACATTCCAAGTTGTTGTCTATCATCAAGTACTTGACCTGTTTTTCAGTCTGTTTCTCAACCAAGGTCTTCCACTGCTTGAACGTGATAAAAGCCTCATTCTTGTCTTGTGCTTCATAATACAACCCCAAATTTTGCAAGGATAGTCATCAATTAGCGCCATCGTATATCTACCATCACCATATGAAACAACTTGAGAAGGACCTCAAAGATCAGAGTGGATATAATCTAATGTATCCTTGGTCCTATGGATTCCCGTTTTCCAAAGTAATGCTCACACAAATCCTGCTTCTCGGTTTTTTGGCCACCAAGCAAAAACATGCTTATTCGGAACATCCATCCTCTTCACTCATATGCCTAAGCCGTATATGCCATAATCCGATAGTATTGAATCCGGATTTGAGGACGATAGTGCAGCTGAACTCGTGACTGTGCTACCTTGCGACGTATATAAACCATGCTTCTTCAGTCCCTTCATCACTACAAAAGCACCCTTTGAGACCTGAATGACTCCACCTCCAGCCTTGTAACTGCACTCGATGGAATCCAGCGTACCCAGGAAAATCATATTATTCTCAGTTCCTGATGTCAGTGTTCTCACTATGCCATCATACATCTTGATTTGAACTGTACCAATACCTACAACCTTGCATGACACATTATTCCCCATTAGGACTTCCTTTTAATAAGTGGAATGATAAGAGGTAAACGAGTCCTTGTTCAGATAAATGTGAACGAGCAACCTGAATCAAGAATCCACTCATCACTTGAACTGCTGACAAAAATCCTGAGAATGTTATCACAATCTGAATCATTACCCTTTGCAACAGCCACATCACCGGCTTCAGAGAATTTTTGTTCTTAGACTTAGAATGACCTCTGCTTCCAGACCTTCCCTTCTGATTCATTCTCTCTCTAACAACCAACCCCTTTGCCGAACATTCTGTATTGCCCTCAAACGTCCTTCTATGCAACTCCTTTGAATTCAAAGCTAATGTCACGTCTTCCATGGAAAAAATAGTTTTGCAATACATTATCGTATCGACAAAGTTCTCATACAAGTGTGGTAGAGAACACAACAGAATAATAGCCTGATCCTCACCCTCTATTTTAACATCAATATGATTTAAGTCCATGATGATACTTGTTTATATTGTCAAGATGGTTTTTCAGAGATGGACCTTCGTGCATTTGAAGAGTGAACAACCGTTTCTTTAGATACAAGTAGTTCGGAAGAGATTTCATCATACATCGAGCCTCCAACTTGTTCCACAACCCGTTTGACATAGCTCCAGAAACATCTTGCGAAACCTTGTTACTGAAGCGCAACGTAATCGCACTTTGTGCTTTCTCAATAATATCATTTTTTTTTCTTAATCTTTTCTGACACACTCTTCCCCTTTCAGATAACCCATGTTGAACCAACATAGCTTGCATCCTAACCCGCCACGGGTTGAAATTGTTTTTGCCGTTAAACTTCTCGATTTCTAGAAACTTGGTCGCCATCCTAGCTTTGAACTGAAAGTTCTGATACCAGTTTGTTACGATAAATGCAACGAACCAAGAGTTACAATAGAAGAACAAACATGCCACACACAAAGAACACAAAGATTTACATGGTTCGGCTTAAAACAAGCCTATGTCCAAATGAAGATCCAGTGAAAGATTCCACTATGCGAAAATCGGGAGATTATAAGTTTCAACCCCAAACCCTAGCTCCTACTTTCACTCTCTTTCCTTCGATTTTCAGTGTTTTCTCTTTACCCACTCCAAGCCCTATACACCTTTATATATTGGGCTACAAGAGAGTACTAAATGGGGTCCAGGATCCCCAAGTGAAAAAATGTAGCAATTTTTTTTTTCGTTTTCGGGTTGCAACGCAACTTGGGCCGAAACAAAATTCGGGCCACAAAATCAAGGTATGTTCTTCATAAAGTTACTCTAGAAGAGGTAGCCTATTTTTCATTGCATAGACGTCTTAGCGGCGTCATACACAAATTTTATCAAAATTGCCAACTTTGAGCATACAACCCTCTTTCATGCTCCCAATGGAGCCACATATATTTTTTGTCACATCTGGAGAGTGAAATTGACTCTCATCTCCCGTGGGATTATGTACTACATCTGCACTTACAGTTCAATGAGAGTTGAACATGACTGCTCTCATACATCATGAGTTGTGCATGACTCTTAAAATTGGATACCCAAGCTGTCCTCAAAGTCACTCCCGGTGGATTTCCTAGTGCATGTCACTCCTTGCAGATTACTAGGAGGAGAATACTAAGAGATGGACTTAACATTTAACATAAGGGACTGCTTTGAAGACTCAAACTTGTGTTCTCACGCTTGTCACTCCAAGCTTTACCATTGTACCTCTGATGGATTATCTCAATAAATATTGATCATTATCTGCCAGGATTTAAGATTAGTATATTCTAGTTTAGTGAAAAGCTCATAGTTTTCCGCTAGCATTTACTCCCAAGTCTTCTCTAAATTTAAGCTAATCTAATCATTAATCTTGTAGCATAGTAGACATCAATCTGTAACAACTGATGTGGCTTCTCATGTTTACAGGCACAAGTGCCCAGCATGCTTCAAGCAGTATAAAAAGAAGGAGCATCTCATTGAACACATGAAAGCCTCTTACCACTCTGTACATCAGCCTAAATGTGGGGTGTGCCAAAAGCATTGTAAATCCTTTGAGTCACTTAGGGAGCATATAACTGGTGAAATTCTTTGTCATGCTAATTCAAGTTATCTATTTATAAATTGATTATCTTGGTTCCTTTCTTTCTTATGCTTTTTCTTTAATTGATTAGGTCCATTACCCAAAGCAAATTGTTCAAGGATCTATGCTGACAGAGGTTGCAATCTTTGCATGAAAATCTTTGACAGCCCTGATTCTCTTAATGGACATAAAGAGATTTGTTGCCTGCCTGCCCCTGCTCCCCTTGTAAGTTGGTCAGAGAAATATTCCAGTATCATATGCGGATTAAGAAGTTTAGGACCATGTGCTTTTTAAGCTCTCTTGATAAGAAGTAGAGTCAGAATGGTAGCTGCTATTATATATCTAATACACAGATCTTACTGTCTTTGTGTTGAATTGATGAAGGGAGCAGTAATAACGCCCTTTCCTGAATCTGAAGTTGATATTCCAACCTTGAACAATGGAAAATATGGTGGAAGAGGTCCTGAAGCCGTTGCCATAGATTGTGAAATGGTTGGTGGTGGAAGTGATGGGTCACTTGATCTTTGTGCTAGGGTATGCCTTATTGATGAAGATGAAAATCTCATTTTCCATACTTATGTGCAACCTCAAATTCCTGTCACTAACTACAGGTATTTCTGTGCGCTATATTATCTGTTTTCATTTAGTTTAGATATCTGTATGTATTTATATAAATAGCACTGTTAGGAATGGATGTTCTTATCATTTATACATATAAGGCTGTTGCGATGGGTGTTCTTATCATTTATACCATCCCCTACTTTTTGCTTTTTCAGATGTGAAATAACAGGCATAACAGAAGAGCATCTAAAGAATGCCATCCCGCTCAAGGAAGTGCAAGAAAGACTTCTACAAATCTTGTACAATGGAGAGTCCATTGGGAGAATACGATTGGATGGTGGAAAGGGTAGGCTTCTTGTAGGTCATGGTCTAGAGCATGATTTGGATTGCTTGAGAATGAATTATCCTGATCACCTGCTAAGGTAAGCTCTTTTCGGAGTTGGCTGTTTGAGCAAAGCATCCCGTGATATTATTGGGTAAATTACCATGACCTCCCCTGAGGTTTGGACTTATTACTATCTGATGAAAGTTTTAAAATAATGCAAGTCAACCTCCCTTAAGTTTTGGTAAAAGTAACAATCAACCCCATTTTGTTAAAGGGCTGTTAGTTCCGGTAATATTTTTTTTAAATGTCAAAATTGCCCTTTAATTAGATTATGTTTATTATAGAAATTAAATATACACATAATATAAAAATTAGATGGACCACCGTCACCATCGACGACTCAAACTCGTGCCACCATCCCTTCCTATCTCCTCTCTGGGTTCTCTCTCCGTCACCACCAATTCATCCGCACAACCCAATCCACTACCACCCCTTTTCCCTTTCGATTGTGAGGATCTGCATCTTCTCGGAGGCCATATAACTGAAGCATTGACACCAAAATTTGTGAACCAATTTTGTTGTGTTTAGGAGTTTTGGCATTTGGGAAGAAGTGGTAGGTCGCGGTTGAGGAAGGGGAGAAATTTGTGAACCAATTTGGTTGTGTTTGGGCGTTTTGGCGTTAAGGGAGCCGTGGTAGGTCACGGTTGAGGAAGGGGAGGAGTGGAGGGTGTATCGATGGTCTGGTAAGGATCGGAGGGTGTATCAGTGGTATTTGTTGATGGGATTGGAGGGTTTCTTGGCGTTTGGAGCGATGATCAAGGGATTGATGTAATCGGAGAAGATATTGTAGATGTTGCTGAGATTGGAGGTCTGGAGTTTGAAGATGAGAGAGGATTAGGTGTTGAAGTTGTTGCCTCTGCGTTTGATTGTGTGCATGCGTCAGAGAGAGAGACTGAGTGAATTATGAAGATGAGAGAGGATTGTGTGTCTCAAGAAGTACTGGTGATGGTGAAGGTGGTGGCACCGGAACCAATCAAACCAAACTTCTCCAGCGACCTCAACATCACTGTCGAATGATGAACGACCATGCCGTTTGCCGCCAGTCATCACCCGATCTTCTCTCCGGAGTTACCGACCGCTGCTTCAAACGCCACCATGAAATGGGTTATTGATAAAGACTTTGATTTTTCTGAGGTGTGGTTGTCTGTTTTCTTTCATTTTCTGGATTTGGGTCATTGGGTATTGGTGAATAATCGATTAACAAGAGCTTTGTTTGGTGCAGAAGAAAATTGATGGGTAAGAAGAAGATGGTGAAAAAAACAAAGGAACTATCAGTAGCAATAGTTCTGCCCAAAACATGGGTCTGCAGAGAGGTTAGGTTAGAGAGAGAGAGAGAGAGAGAGAGAGAGAGAGAGAGAGAGAAGAGAAAATTGGGGTAATTAAATATATAATTATTAGAGGGAATTTTTGTACTTTTATAATAGACTTTGACGGTGTTAGGAATCTCAACTCAGAAATGGGGTGTGAGGGTGATTGTTTCATAAGTTTCATCTACCGGTAATAAGTTCAAGCCTCAGGGGAGTTGAGTAATTTACCCTATTTTATTCCATTGAGAAAGTTGTATGATGACCATGACTTTTGTTATCTTTGGAAGAAATCTTATCTCCTCTCTTATATGTGACCTACAGGTTCATCCATTTGGAAAATTTCAACTTTGCATACTTCTAAACATAACACATCTTGAGGGATTACAAATCAGCTATTTATTATTATATATAGGGGGATGGCTATGAAAATCAAGCTATTTTTGTTATGATTTATGTATTGAACGAGTCCATTTGTTTCATAAAATTTGAGTTAGTCTTTTGTATATTACGTATAGGTCACTCTAGGAAATGAAGAGTTGATATTATCTTTTGCATTTATTGGTAGTCAGTTTGAGCTATTGCTTTTGATCGAGTCTTGATTGTACTCTCGTTTATTTGTTAGAAAAGAGACCGACTCCTTGTGTTGCTTTTTGCTTCACTCATTCTGAATGTCATATTTGGAAAATTGATTAATTTTTGTCAACTGCTACACAAAAAAATATGAACTTTTTTTTTCGCCCTTCCCCCCATGGTACGTCCATGTAACCAAAGAGAAATGCATACAATTAGTGAAATGTAAAGGGGGTGATTTAAGAGTTAAAAACAAATTTAGCCTTTGGCTTTGTTTGTGCCAAAGAACTAAAGGTGAATGCGACCATCAGATCTCGATTGGAAACTGACACACACTCTTTTAGCAAGTTAGATACTTCTCTTTCCCCTTTTCTGATTCATCCTTCCACTGTTTTCCCTTATTCTTCTTTCCTTTAATCCTTTTCTTCAATAATGATCTTAATTATAAATTGCCAGAAGTGTTGGTAAATTTTCTGGTACTACCATTTCTTACCATTGTTTTTAAATATCATTTTTTTTGGTCCAATTAAATACAGAAGGTATGATTTTAATACGCGTGGTGTTCTTAGCTGAAGATAGAAGTTGCTGGGTCTATTTGCCTGGGTAATAGTGTTGTTTTTACCTCTATTCCCTGATTTTAGAGCCAACTGAGTTCACAGAATTTTTGGTATCTTAACTTTCTACTTTTTGAAAAATAATTCTCTTTTATTGCATAGAGATATTCCCAGATTTGTTGCTCCCAGCTAATTGTAATAATCCCAGATTTGTTCCTCACGGCTACTTCTGTCTGCATGCAGGGATACTGCAAACTATCGTCCACTAATGAAAACAAATTTGGTCAGCCACTCACTCAAATATCTCACTCAGTCATATCTAGGGCAAGTTACTTGGCTTCCTGTTGCTTTATTGCTTGTTATCTTGTTATATTTATTTATATAATATGTACATATATATGTTTATGTCTGAATTGTTATCTGATGTTGTTTAATTATACAATTCTTAACTTTTCTTTTGCTTTCATTGAGTATTTGGCTGATAATGCTTTCTTACTGTAAAAATAATACAAATCTGCATTTACAAATGAAATTTCTTTTGGTTATACAACCTGATAAGGACTCTATAGCTTTGCCTTTTACGTTATTTTTTCCCTTTTATTCTTAAACCGGCTGTGGAGTTAATAGTTTCAATCAGATGCTCTTCTAAAGTTTTTCCCATTAACTTTACTAAAAAATTGGAAGCAGCATCTGCTTGGGAGGTCAAACGTTGAAAAAGGGAATAATCTCTCTCTCCCTCTCTCTCTCTCTCTCTCTCTCTCTCTCTCTCTCTATATATATATATATATCTATTGTTGTTATTATTATTATTATTATTATTTGTTTCTGCTTTCTGCTGCTAAGCCTGCTAAAATTAGCTTCAAACTTTTCTGTTTATTATCCAATTTTGAGGTTGTAGGGATCTCCGCAGTATACTATGCATAAAAAGGACAAAATTTGTTAACTTATAAAACTAACTCTATTTGCAAAATTTTAATAAATATTTTCTAATTTTCTTATTGATCTATTTTTATAGCTGCAAGTATCATTAACACACTTACCGATAGTTTATAAGAAACGTATCGGGGTGTAAATGTTCCAACCAATTTGATGTCTTGCGGCTTTGGCTTTACAGGTATGATATCCAGTCCGGGGTGCATGATCCATTTGAAGATTGTGTATCTGTAATGAGACTGTACAAGAGAATGCGTGCTCAAGATCATGGCTTGGAAGGAATCGGAACATCTCCTGCTACTTCCAATACCCGAAGTATGTTTACCAACAGTTTCGATTCTTGGAAATCCAAGGAACTCGAGAATATGACCCCAGATAAGCTTTTCGAGATATCCAGCTCAAACTATAGGTGTTGGTGTCTGGATTTGAGGCAAGAATTGCAGAATTGATAACCGATACTCCCCTTCATCTGTGAAATCACTATTTTTAGGGGAAATGGTGAGGTTGATTTCTTCATTTATATTCATCAAAGTCGTATGAAATCACTATTTTCTTCCGGACTGTTTGTTTGAAGTAGTTAACAACATTGAGCTTTGTTTTAATGTCACCAGGGTATATATATACATACATACATCTATATATATATATATATATATAGATATATATATTTGTCGAGCACTCTATAGTAGTCCATGATCGGATATCGCAGTCCGTCCATTTACTTAGATTAGAAGTAAGTTTTTTGACCTACATGTGCCAAACTATAGCTTCATGCTGATTGATCTTGATGGAGACACCCTTACCTTCTAAGAATCCAAGTTTGTGCTCACCAAATCCACTCATTGAGTGATTTGTGGACTAATACCTCTGGTTATTTTTAGCTGCAAATGGTCTTATAACATTTGTTGATATTTTCATCTTGCCCTTTTTGCTTCTTATTTGACACGATCACATCAACAAATTACATTCATGTTTCACTTAGAAAAAATAATCAAATTACAATCAAGACTGAATAAAATCACTCATTTGTGTTAATTCCATTATTATAGTTTCTACTTAAGTCGTACAATCTTTTTCAATAGGAGTCGCTTTCACGTTCTGAGCGCGCGTTATTGTTCAAATTCTTATCGCTTATAATTTAATTCTGTTGCTTTCATACTCCTACTTTTAAATTTACTTCTGCTCTGCTCTCGTTTTACATGACTTATGTTTCAATGAGATTTTCTCTTGATTCTCACACTTATATACAAAGATTATTGTAAACATCATATTATTAATGAATTTTTATTTGAATTTCTTTGAAAGGAGGTGAATCATCTTCTATAAAGAATAGACGAGAGCATTGATTGGATGAGTGTTACTGTGTCATGTCACAAAGTCATCAGATTAGATTCGTTGAACTTATTGATGACAAGATTGCATAATTAATGCTTTGTTTTTATTTTCAAATAGTAAGTTTGAAAAAGAAAACAATGCATGGATCACATAGTATTAATATGTTATTAAAATATCTTAAAATAAAATGAAGTGTATGATCTATTTTAAATGAATTCTGACAGTGTAATTTATATTTTTAGGCTGCATTTGGTACACATAAATAAAATGAAATGCAAAGTAAAAATAGGATGATCATTTTTATTTTATTATTTGGTTGCAAATATGAAATGATGTTAAAAATGAAATGATCATTATTATTTTACTATTTGGTTGCAAATATGAAATGATGTTAAAAATGAAATGATCTTTATTATTTTACTATTTGGTTGGACCAATTTAAAACATAGAATGGGAAGATTGATTTTTCCAAAATATCCCTCTCAACAACAAATAAATTAAACTAACAAAATAACATTCTTTCATAAAAATTTTCATAAGAAATGACGATGGCGGCAATAGTGGTGAAAGGTGGCAATGGTAAAAGGTAGACAGTGGTGTAAGTGATGGTGAAAGTAGCTGTAGATTGTAGTAGTAATGGTGGTGGAAGTGGTGATGGTGAAAGACATTGACAATGGTGATGATAATGGTGATTTTTAGACTTAAAAACGTATGAGTTTTGTGACAACATAATTTTCATCCAAAATTTTGAAATGTTCATTTTTTTTCATTCCATGGAATAATCAGGAAATTTAGGAATTAATATTTTTCACTTTAATTTTCTTAACAAACAATCTTTAATTTTATTTTATTTAGTAAAATGAACATTTTATTTTTCATACCAAATGTAGTAGTATAACGCGGCAACGTTGCTCACATGGTGATTTTTATTATTTTTAGAAAATAATAAAAGACGGATATTACTACCCAATGTGAACATCAGTTTTTTTTTTTTTTTTTTTTAAATGAATGTGACCATCATTTTTTTATTTGGAAATATAATGCAACCATTATTGATGTAAACAAAAGTTCTATATTTATTACTACTTTACTAAAAAATCGGTGTAAGAATTATTTTTTAAAAATAAATTGTGTATCATTACTCCATCTTAAATAATTACATCAAATTGTAATTTATTAGTCGGTGTTTTATTTATTTATTTATTTTTTCCATGAAATTAACACGATACCAGTTGTTTTATGTCAGAAAAATTAACCAATCACATCACTCTCAAACGCTGAATATGTGCCGCCTCCAGAACTGACTTTTGCCTCTCCGTTCCACACGCACACAAACACACACTCGTCTCCTAGCGGAGGCTTCTCACTTTATCACTCTCTCAGAACTCACTTTCTCTCTCTAAAACGCTCTCGTCTTTGTCTCTCTAAAAGGAGACGCAGCTCCATGAAACACTTCTAGATCTGCCCTAGGAGAGAGAGAGTGACCATGGCGATTGCCGCACATCAGAGTCTGTGGGACGGCGTTCTCGAACACACCAAGTCGGCTCAGGACAGAGGCAGCGACCCAGTGCTCTGGGCGATTCACCTCTCGTCGAGCCTCAGCTCCGCCGGAGTTTCGCTGCCGTCGACGGAGGTCGCGAACTTGCTCGTGTCTCATATTTGCTGGGACAATAATGTTCCTATCACGTGGAAGTTTCTCGAGAAAGCGTTAACGGCGAAGATCGTGCCTCCGATGCTCGTTCTCGCTCTTCTTTCCAGCAGGTATTGGTTCGCACTGTTGTTTTTTGGTTAATTCATATGAAATTGTGGTTATGTAACTTATATATGCGAGTTTGTCTGTCACTTTGTTGATAAAGGAAACATGCCCTAATTATACGTACCGAATTACAGAAGCATAACAAGCATAGCTGTATATATTATATGGACTAATTTTCGTATTGAATGTTTATAAATGATATATATGCTATATATATGCTATATTTGTGGACGCTTTTTAGTGCTTCTCATGGGTGTTATGGACTTATCGGCTTCAAAAGAAGCACTGAAAAGAATCAGATTAACGAGCAAGTAGGCTAATCACTTGTTATTCATTTTCAAGTCGAGTTTGATAAATCCCCAAAAGTGAAATTATCTTTTCATGAAAGAAATATTAAATAATAAAAGCTTCCACATAGAGTCAACCTTGGAATCAAAAGTACGACTATATGTATTCATTGTGTTTATGTGGTCTCATATGGCAATTTATGTAGTTCTCTGTTTGGTATTTCTTTGGAGTATATGTCTCGATGAAGTAGCTGGAAGACATGGAATGTATCCAACCTACACTACTGTCCATTGAGCATTGGGCATGAGCCCTAGTTCATTGACCTCTCGCAGACCTGACTATTGCCACTCTTGCGTGAGCCCAGATATGTCTGCCCTATTTTGTTTCTATAGGCATGTATTTTGGCATCGAATGTGTTATTTGGCTGTGCGGATCTTGTTGGGGGTAATTTGTCAGTAAGAATTTGAAGTTTGATGCTTGTCATTTTTATTTTATCTTACTTACTCTATTTATGCTATATTTATATTCTGTCACAATATAAATACATGAAGCATTTCTGGATAAATGAGCAAGACAACGTGTGGGAGTAAATTTATCATATGAAAGATTGATAAAAAAGAATTATATGTGGCAGACTCGATGGTACTAGACAAAGGCAAGGATAATGTTGATGATCCTCTCCACCTTAGCCACATCATTGCCATGCGTTCGAGAAATTATTACATGGCCCCGGGACAATTGGTCCTGACCATTCACTAGCCAACACGCAAGCTAAAAGCTCAATAAAGTTAAGACAAATCTGACACATTTGCTTGTGTGTTAGCTAGTAATTGACTTGGCACCAATAGTTCCGGGACCATGTAATAATTTCTCCTTTCGCTGACACCAAAGCCAGTCAACCGATGTACATGTGTTTATCAATCAAAGCGGGTGTGTCTATTTACCTACTTAAGCGATTCCCGCAAATCCCACAACATCTAAAGAACATAATAGGTAGAGAGAGATCGAGAGATGGAGATTGAAGGTAGTCATTTTTGTGTTTGTTTTTCGATAAGAATAGAATAAGGGGTTGACTGGTGAGGACGTTGGATGATGCAGGTCCAAGCAGAGTTGCACTCTCTCTATCTCTCTCTAATCTACATATATATATATATATATATATATATATATATATTTGTGTTTCGATAAGAATAGAATAGAATAGGGGGGCGAGGGCATTGTATGATGCAGGTCCAGGCGGAGTTGCACGAGCAAGGCTCTCTCTAATCTACATATCCAATGACTACCTTCAATCTCCATCTCTCATTCACAACCCATAATTATAGCAAACATAGTGTTATCCGATAGAGTTTCCAATTCTATCATATAATGCGGACATAGATTTATAAAAACGTTGTAACTATGATTTATATCTCCTATGCATATCTCCCATTACGACATGCACATGCATCATAACACACAATCAATGGAACTTCGATGCTACTCTAGAGTCGAGCAATACAAATAATTCTCCGTATATGTATGCAAAGCATGTAATGCAATAGTGAACTTATATCTTTATTAATTCTTAATGACAAATATACATTAAAAGAATTAAATGCATTAATTCTTTGGGTTGAGCTTTTACATGATTTTTTAAATGTCTGTGTTGCCAAATTTGATGTTTGCTTAACTTCCTGTGAGCTGCCTTTTCTTTCGTCATATGATTTGTTACCTCAAGCTCCAATGTTGGCTTGACTTGATATGTGGTCCTTGGTAATTTGAAATAGCAATGCCTCAGAAAATAGCTGCCTTATGGGCATGTTGCCTCTAAAGATAATTACCTTCTAACCATGTTTAGTATTTTAAATGCTGTTCAATATGTGGAGATTATTGTGTATGATTAATCTAGTAGGACCTCAAACTGCTATGTTGCCTTGCTACATAAATGCATTGATATGTGGGAGCTATCTCGTTGCCAGTTAGACAGTGCTTTCTCAACACGATGTTACTTTGATTGATGATTGTTTTAATATATGGGAATAACCATCTTGCTGTTATATATCGTTTGGTGGCACTATAATTAGTAATTACCATCATTGCCACAACAGATGATTGTCTTGGTGTACAATTTATGGTTTTGTGGGCTTCAAACTACACTGTTGACCAAATACATGATGTGATAGCACTTTACGTTACCATGTATTCTAGAAAGCTATTTGTCTTATTGTATGCAGACCTTGTTGAATCATAATTTCATTCACAAAGCCAATACCAAACAGTTGGAATTAAAGGTTGGGCCTAGGATCTGTTTTTCTTTTGGATCATTTTGGATCATAATTGATCCATATAACCAACCCCAAATTGTTAGGATTAAGGCTGGGTTTTGGTTCTCCCTTTATTTTGTTCCACTTGGTGCATCAACTGATGATTTCATATGATTCAATAGAAGCAACTGATATATGTTTGGCCTTATAGTGATATCTGTATGGTAAAGGTGTTTCCTTTAGTTTCGCAAACTTTGTTCACGAGCCATTGCTATTTTAACCCACTGCGGTTATTGTTTCTATAGGGTAATTCCAAGTCGACGGTTCCATCCTGCAGCGTACAGACTATACATGGAACTCCTTAAGAGGCATGCCTTTTCGTTTGCATCTCAGATTAGTTGTCCAAATTATCAGAAGTAAGTCTTTTCATTTTTCTTTTTTCAATTTTCATTTGCGTCTTATTTTTTATTTTTTATTTTGTTTTGTCTTCTTTTTCTATTCTTAATATTTTCCTTGAAGAACTTTTTTTTTTCCTTCGTTTAGCACTGGCTTCACAAAGGCTTTTTTATTATTTCTGATTCTGATTTATGCTGTATTTATTGTCACTATAAATATAAAGATATAGTTGGATTGGATTGTTTATTAGACTTTATCTCTCTCCAAGATTTGCAACCTACTCTAGAACTGAACGATGAGGAACACTTTCTAAATTATGTATTACATCAAGAGATTTACTTTAATTCCCGATATGGGATAAATTTCTATAGTTAGACATGTGCATACCTGAAAATCATCATATGTATATCATTGCACAATTAAACTTACTTTTTTATTGCTGACTACTATACAGTACAATGAGAATTTGGCTTTATGCATATGGAAAATTTAACTGTAATTTTAGGCTGATTCGGCTGAACATTGAAGTATCCCCTAATACAAATGCCTAAGTGGTATAATTCTCATTGTTGGTTCATACTTAGAGTTGGTGAATGATACAAGCATAAGCATTTTTATCCCAAACTTCTCCCTTACTCTTTTTTCTACACTATTTGTTTTTTATTTATTATTTATTGTCTGTTTTTATTTATATTTCTTGTATCAAAGGAACCTACTCTTTGGGAGAAACTCAAAGGTGCTCCCAAGTTGTACATATCCTTGTGCACTTAGAAAGAAAAAAAAAGTTGTACCATATCCTCATACTAAATTTTAGTGACGGTGATGCCTTGCAGCATACACCCTTTTGGAGGTTTTAGAAGAATAAAAATGCTGCAAAAGTTAAGTTGCACTGAGAGTGACTCTGAAAGGTCTCTTCAAAAGAAAAAGAAATAATTAAATTTAAGAAAACATGTCAAAATGGAAGTCCTACTTTTACTGTTTATCGGAGTTAGATACACATCCTAAATGCTTAATACATTGGCAATCTCCAATTCTCCATATACATGATCTTCTGAGACAATGTTTTACTCTTCCCATTTCTTGCACATTATATACCCTAAACTAGAAAGCACGGACACTTCTATGAAGGATCCGTACCCGTGTCGTGTCCGTGTCGGACATTGACACTCTTTGGACACTTCTCGGACACGTGTCCGACACTACATATACGTGTCTATTAACAACCATCTAGTCCAAAAGCTTAAGCTATTAGAGAGGATGTATCTTTAATATTTATGTGCTTCAACACGACCCCCTCACGTGTGGCCTTCTTTTGGTCCAAAACGTGCTTTTCAATTTTTTAATTAGGGTGATGGTGAGATTTGAACTCGAGACCTTTGGCTCTGATATCATGTTAATAACCATCTACTCCAAAAGGTTAAGCTGTTAGAGAGAGTGTAACTTTAATATGTATATCCTTCAACATTGTCCATAAATAAAAATTAAATTTTATTATTTTGGACACTTAACCAACAATTCTGGACACTTTGTCGGCACTTCCCAGGCACTTAAGCCAACACTTTCCGACATTTCTAACACAAATCTACCCGGTAATCTTGAAAATAATATGAATACATTCTAAAATATTCATTTTTTACTTTAACAAAAATTGGCATTATATATATGATCACAAGTGAAGCATAAAAAGATACTGTCATTTAAAACAAAAAACACTATTCTGACAAATTTGAGCAACTCTTAGTATTAAAATTAGAACTTAATTAAGGTTCTGGAATACTATTACTCGATAGATGTATATAAATAAAAAATTCTTAGTTACATATAGCCGTGTCCACGTTGTACCCATGTCCTACTTTTTTTTAGAATTTGACGTGTCAAAAAAATGATAATATAAGGATAGAAATATTTTGGGCACACTATTAAATTTTGTATTTGTTGAGGTTCAATAATATAAGAAAATAAAATATTTTGGTAAGTTATAATATATAAAGAAAAAATTTTGGGGGACCCCTCAAAAAAAAAAAAAAAAAATGGTAAAGAATAGAAATCTTTTAGGTCAACGATCAAATTTCTGTGCGTTGAAGTTTAATAATTAAAGGAAATACTGTAATTGTTTTAGGAAAGTTATAATATATAAAGAAATAAAAAATTATGGGGCCTTCTTATTGGCTGGGGCCTTAGGCGACCGCCTAACTCGGCTAAGGCTCCCGCTGGCCCTGGACATTCTCATTATAGAATGAACTCTTTAAATCTTGTCATGTAATGCTATCATTTCTATTATATATTGTGAAAATCATGTGGCATGCACTTGGATCATCTGTTAAGCAGTATATTTTGTGTTTGTTCTTTGTAATTGGATTTCCTTGGAACTAAAACAAGAAATTTGAGTTTGAAGAAACTGACATGTTTTGACCATGCAATTGCAGGGTCATGAAATCCATAGACGATGTTCTTCATCTTTCCCAGATATATGGTGTTCCGGCACAGGAACCTGGGGTTCTTGTAGTTGAATTTGTCTTTTCAATTGTATGGCAGTTGCTTGATGCATCATTAGATGATGAAGAGTTGCTAGAACTTACACCAGAGAAGAAGTCAAGGTGGCCAACCAAGACACAAGATATGGAAATAGATGGTCATGATAGCTTTGATGAGAAGAGAATTGAGCGTCATGATGGAATGCACAAATTAAATGCTGTAATGGCCATTGAGATAATTGGAGAATTTTTTAAAAATAAAGTAACATCCAGGATTCTTTACTTGGCACGCCGAAACATGTAAGATAAATCTGTTACCATGTTTTGTTTAAGTTTCTTTTGTTGTCCAATTTATTGTGTCTTATACGAGTGAAAAACAAACAGTACTTCGAGTGGCTTGGAGAGCACTGAAATGGTTAATCTGAATTTTAGAGAGGATCTTAAGTGGCATTTGGATTGTTCTACTGATGTTAAGTTTATTCTACTTTATTTTCTTTCCCTTTCTAGGCCCTTGCATTGGGGATGTTTCATTCAGCATTTGCGACTGCTTGCAGCGAGTTCATCTGCATTGAGGACTTCAAAACATATTACTCCTGAAACTCTTCTACAGTTGACATCAGACACACGTCGGGTCCTGTCCCGGGAATGCAAAACAAGTTCACAGCAAGCATTTCATGCAGTAATGGCTTCTGGTTCGCTTATATCTTCTGCTAGTCAATGTTATGGCACTAGTCGTTCTGCATTTTGGCTTCCCATTGATATGTTTCTGGAAGATACTATGGATGGATCACAAGTGGTGGCAACAAGTTCTGTTGAAACACTTACTGGTATGTCATTTCTCTTATATGATGGTGAAATTATAGCTTTACAGGGGGGAAAAGGTGTTTCTCTTGTTTTTCAAACAAGTTCACTGAAGTGAATTAACGTGCAGGTCTAGTAAAAGCTCTTCAGGCAGTTAATCGTACGACCTGGCAGGATACATTTCTTGGTCTATGGATTGCGGCTTTACGGCTTGTTCAAAGGGTGAGAACTCATTAGATATTTGATAAACAGTAGGATATATTATGCTCCCTTGAGAGTTGAGGCCCAAAGACATTGGAGATGAGTTTTTTCAGATATATTGTATGAGGAATATTTTTCCACCAATTTGCTTATATGTTTTGTTGGACTGAGAAAACTTATTACGGAGACTAGATCCTTGGTCTGGATATCTTGTATGAGGAATGCTTCAAAGTGGAAAAGCAGGATATGCCAGAGGATCTCATATATGTTATATATTGCTGAGGAAAACATATGTGAATTATAAATACCTGTCTGTGGAGAAAATGGTTTTTTTAGGTGTTAATTAGCTATTGTTAATTTCTTTCTCTTTTTGACTAGATTTCATTCATTTTATTCCTGATTGAAATTTCTGCTTGACTCATTGTTTGTCATGCAATCCTAACACAGGAAGAGTCCTCCTCATGGTCCTTAGCAGTTAGCAGCTTCCTGTATTTATGTTCCATTGAATTTACACTGATCATACATCATTATTTTACCTTTTTTTTTTTTGTTCTTGGTTCTTTTAGGAAAGAGAAACTAGCGAGGGTCCAGTACCTCGCCTTGATACCTGCTTATGCATGTTATTGTCTGTTACAACTGTTGCGATTGCGAATGTTATTGAGGAAGAGGAAAGTGGACTCATTGATGAAGCTGAACGCAGCCCAACCAGTCCAATGATAGAGAAACAGGCTCCAGGAAAGCGTCGCAGGGATCTGGTTTCCAGCTTACAGCAGCTTGATGACTATGAAGGCTTGTTGACTCCACCTCTACCTTTATGTTTGGTAGCCAATCAGGCTGCCGCCAAAGCAATGATGTGTCTTTCAGGCCTAACAGTTGGAAGTGGATACGTTGATTGTGTGAGCTTGAATGACATGCCGTTGAACTGTTGTGAGTAACATCTTTAATTTTTCAGCAGACACCAATTTTATTAATATTTCAGAATGGAAAAAGTTGTACTAAATGTTCTCTATGGCCTTCCTTGCTTGTTACCACCTGAGAGTTTCTTCTGAAAAGTTCTTGTTCTTGTTTTGAATATATGAGACGTGATGGCAGCAGCCTTCCTCCTACGCTTAAACCTCATAAGTCTCACTCCATGTCCCTCTACCAAGAATTGAACCATGCACCTCCACCTAATTAATGATCGAGAAATACCACCTGAACTAGAAAGATGGTAATGCTAAAATTTTACTTTGCATTCTATGGTTATGAGAGGAATTATATGATGCATTTTATTGTTTATACATAGCTGATATGGTCCCTTTTTTGAGTAATGTTACTTTCGTTGCATCTCTAAATCTGTAAGCCAACTTTCCACCCTTGTTGTAGCACATGGAAGGGAAAGGTACATAAAAATAATAATAATAAAAGAAAAGAACAGATGCAGCCAGTTTTTTTTTTTTTTGCACTGATGCAGCCAGTTCTTCTTTCATGACTTTCAGCTTGGATTCATTTTTAATAAAATTTAAATACTTTTCCCTGTTCACTTTATTGGGTTTTATTATAGTATCACTATTTTATTTTACATTTCTCTCTCTCTCTCCCTCCCTCCTTTTTCTCTCTCTTATTTTCCCCCCCTCCTTTTATGGGGGGGGGGGGGGGGGGGGGGGTGTGGTTGGGAGGAAGGAAAGGTTTACTTTTTGTTCATGCAACTATGGTTACCTGTTGCTTACTTAAAAATTGGAAATAGAAAAAAGAAAAGAAAAAGAAAAAGAACCATGGCTGGCTAGCTGAGGTTGTACTTCAATTTTCTTACTAGGCATGCATGTGTCTATATTACATTTGCATCCTTTCTGATTATTTTTGTTTGCTTTTAGCTGGAAACATGCGGCATCTGATTGTCGAGGCTTGTATTGCTAGAAATCTTCTGGACACTTCAGCATATTTATGGCCTGGTTACGTAAAAGGACGTAGCAACCAGGTACCTCGTAACGTCTCTGGCCAAATGCCTGGTTGGTCAGCATTGATGAAGGGGTCACCCCTAACTCCTTCAATGGTAAATGCCTTGGTTTCAACTCCTGCTTCGAGGTATGGCTATGCAGACATTTCTTTGAGAAATTTCTCATCTTTCTTTCGTTCATTTTTCTCCCCCTGGGCGCCCTTCCCCAGTGTACCTGGTCAAATGATGGTACTTCCAAGTTCCAATTTACACAGTAGCAACATGCTGTTTCAAATTCATTCATTCATTCATTCCTTCCTACCCAACCCTATCCTATCCTATCCTTGAAGAGGTTCTGATTTCCACATGTGGAAGTCCTTAAAGTTCATTTTGTCTTTTAGTCGTTATTATCAAGGTTTTAAATTGTCGTGCTGTCATAACTCCTAAAAGTGACAATGCTGTGTTGCGTGCTTGTATGTTTTCGGGTGTAACCGTGCCTTCGTATGTGGGATATGACAAGTGTTGCGTATCAGTATTGTATACTGAACTATTGAAATTTATTTGCTCACAACTATCACAAAATGTCACTATTTTTGTTTCTAAAACTTAAATTCTCACATATTTCGATTTTCTTTAATGATTTTAATAAATTTAGTTTAACACGATTTAATATGGTTGATGAATTTTGTATTGATTCTTAGGTCACTGTTAACAAGAAATGCTTACTAATTTTACATTTCACTACTTTTATAAGCGTTTAAACACACTTATGAGTGAAACATTATTAAAGTGTGTTCATTTGCTTGGTTTACCAACAGTTTTTTGTATTCTTATTTTGTACAATAAAAATCTAGGTCAGAGTTATAAATATAAAATAAATTAATATGATGAAGAATAGAAATTTTAAACAAGGTAAAAATTAAACATTAAAGTAACTTAAATTTATTTTAGTTATGATCTAAATTTTGATTTTAAAGACTTGTTTTGAAATTATAGTACTATATACTAGTTCCTTGCAACCCAGATCCCAAAAGAATATAATTAGGGAAAAAAAGAAAAAAAAAAAAAAAGGCTGAAATGAGCTGAAATCAATTCACATTCATTATGGCTGCTTAAGGGATTGCTACGGCAGTTTAGTGGTCCATTTTGGCCATTACAGTCTGTTATGGGCACCATAATGCTTTTACGACTGTGTTAATGTCAACATGACTTCTATATCAGTTTGTAGTGGGTCGTCCAACACCTCTCTATACCATTATGTAAAACCGTTACACAATGGTATAGCTCACTATTTAAAACCATGGTTATGATGTTTTGATTGTTAAATTTCTAGTTCAAGAAAGTGTCTGGTCCTTTTTTCCCATTAATTTGGTTTCATAATTTTCATTTATATTCTATCCCGCTTATGGTTCATTTTAAACTTTTGGTATTGTATTGCAGAGATGGTTAGTGATGAGATATAATTCAAGTTAAATTATGCTCAAACCCAATTACTTGGGGTATATGGGTCAGAATTGCTGTTATGCAGAATACCAGTTTCAGCATGATATGCTATGTCCTATGTGTATATTTATAGTGATTTTATTACTAGGTTCTTAGTGCTTACGTGGTGATGTTGCTGCATAAATGATATAGAGGTGACGATTCATAATTAGTTATAAGATCCCCCTATGTCTTTACATGTCCTGGTCTTCAGTAAAACCCTTTTCTTTCCTGAAGCCAGGTATATCAGATGCTCTTTTTTGTAATTTACCCAGTGGTAAGGCAACTGAATTTAAGCTCATGGATTTGATGGAAGCTTAGCAGAAATAGAGAAAATCTATGAGATCGCAGTCAAAGGTTCAGACGATGAGAGGATATCTGCTGCTACAATTTTTTGCGGTGCATCCCTAACTCGTGGTTGGAATATACAGGTAGTGTGGTGCATGTTGTTCATATTGTACTGGAATATCATATTACAGTAGACCATTTGAATATCTTATTATTGTTATTATCATTATTTGCCGGCGCTCATTTCTCCTTTTTCACTTTTATGTTGTTCAAAGCATATTTGATCTATTTTTGCAGGAACACCTTGTTCTTTTTATTACAAGATTGCTGTCTCCTCCAGTCCCTGCAGATTATTCTGGGAGTGAAAGCCATTTGATAGGTTATGGCCCATTTCTGAATGTTTTTCTGATCGGAATATCGACAATCGATTGCATTCATATTTTTTCCTTGCATGGCTTGGTAGGTTGAGCTTCTGAAGCTCTTGTGGTTTTTTAACTGAATTTATATATTCTGTAATTTGTGTAGAAGACCAGAAAATTATCAGGAGAAAACATGTTACGTATTTTCAATCACTGTCCTTGTTCATTACAAAGAATGAAGTGGAGGCTTCTGGTCCTTTGATTTATGACTGAATTCTCTGCACAAAATAAAATCAGACAAACAAACAATGTGCCTCTCCTTATCCAACGAATGGAAATTGTATCTATCCTACACAATCTCCTGATTTATGAAAACACCACATCTACATTCATTACAATTTTATATTTCAACTATTAGATTGTGTTTTTGTGTGTTATTCAATCAAATCTATGACCTACAATAAATTTTTTTTTTTTTGGACAAGCAATAACTTAGAATTATGTGATTTATCAAAGATGATTACAATGCAACCTTTTATTGAATGAAATAAAGGAAAAATAAAAAGTTTTATATTGGCTTTGAGCTGATTTTCTTCAATTCTTGTACCAGGTTCCACAACTTGCTGGTGCATTGATGCCCATTTGCGAGGTATTTGGAGCATGTACGCCCAAGGTCTCATGGACTCTTACAACAGGGGAAGAAATTTCTTCCCATGCGTTGTTCTCAAATGCATTCACTCTTCTGCTGAAGTTGTGGAGGTTTAATCAGCCACCACTTGAGCATGTTATGGGAGATGTTCCTCCAGTAGGATCTCACCTAACTCCCGAGTACCTCTTATTGGTGCGCAACTCCCAACTAGCATCATCTGGAAATGCACCTAAGGGTCAACATAAAAGCAGACTGTCAAGAATGTCAAGTCCATCTTCGACAGAACCCATATTCATGGATTCTTTTCCAAAATTAAAGAATTGGTACAAGCAGCATCAAGCATGTATTGCTTCTACCCTCTCTGGTCTTGTGCATGGAACCCCTGTTCATCAGATTGTTGATGGGCTACTGAACATGATGTTCCGGAAAATAAATAGAAGTGGTCAGCCCTTGACTCCAAATTCTGGAAGTAGTAATTCATCTGGGTCTGGAACGGAAGATACCTCTCTTCGACTTAAATTACCTGCTTGGGATATTCTGGAAGCTATTCCCTTTGTTCTTGACGCTGCTTTGACAGCTTGTGCCCATGGAAGACTTTCTCCCCGTGAAATGGCCACAGGTTAGTCTGATTTAAATAAAATCATCTTCGCTTCTTCCTGCATTAGCTTCAATTTTATGGTTGAAAAATTATGAACTGACTCAATGTGGGCATATTGTCACTTGACAAGGCACCAGAAAGAAGTTATGCAAATGGCGCTGAAGAGAGAACTCTTTCTTTTTCGTAATACAGGCCTGACTGAAACTACACAAATCGAGCCTGTGTTAGCTCAGTCATCTCAACTTACTTTTAGAAAAAGTTCTTGAATGCATATTACTTTTCCTGGCATCTCTGATTGAACAGTAGATAGGGGATTCCTTTTTAGTCTTCTCGCCATGTAACAGTTTTGCCTTCAAACATTTGTTTTACATTTCTGTCAGAGACTTTTATATTTTACATTTACAAGGCTCTGCTTGCACTGTAGAGAAATTAGGTAGGGGAGTACTTCTACTGTCTTCTTGTTACATGTCTATCCTTATTTTAGTGTCTTCTTGTTGCACAGTATCATCCCACACCGCGTAATGGCGGGAGCCTCATGGCAGTTGGGTTGACCTCCCCCCCCCCCTCCCCCCCCCAAAAAAAAAAAAAAAAAATTGCATTTTCATGATTATTAAAGCCAAAAACCAATGGCTTAGGCCAAGTGGTTACAGTATCTGTGCTAACCTCCAAAAGCATGCCCCACCCCATCCCCTCCTCAAGCTTGGGAAATAAAAAAAAAAGATGGTTAAGAATATTATTGGATATACACTGTTTCAGAAGAGGGAACTGACACAAATTTCTGTTTGTGTTGTACGCTACTTTTTGGGAAACCATTCATTAATTGTTCTAAGCTTTTCTTGAACTTCCGAATAAATTATTTACTGGCTATGTCATGTTAGTAAGGACCCTCTGCACTATTTCTATCACAGGGCTCAAAGAACTTGCTGATTTTCTTCCTGCATCCTTGGCAACCATTGTTAGTTACTTTTCAGCTGAAGTAACACGGGGTGTTTGGAAGCCAGCTTTTATGAATGGAACTGATTGGCCGAGCCCTGCTGCAAATTTATCTATTGTTGAGCAACAGATAAAGAAAATTATAGCTGCTACCGGTCTTGATGTGCCAAGTCTTGCTGTCGGTAAGTTCCTGTTGTAAATTCCTGTGTATGTTGACTACAGATGTCCAGACAAAATTGTCATTCTGCTTCCTCTTAAAGGTTTGCAATTTTCTTGTGATTTTTTTGAGCAAGATAACATTGACACTCCTAACCATCAAATTTTAAATGGTGAAGAAAATTTATAAAGTCAACAGATCATCTTAGGTGAATAGATTAATGACTCCTAGTGGCAGCAGAAATTTGTTTACTCTGATTCTGCCATCTATTTCTTACACATCGTGTATTTCTTACACATCGTGGAAAATTGAAACATCTGAGATTCGTGCAGGGAATTTCATGTTGAACAAACTTTTTTGTTAAACTTTTGGTTTAAACTTGTTTTGCTTGCAGGAGGGAGCTACCAGGCTACACTTCCTTTACCCTTGGCTGCCCTTGTAAGCCTCACAATAACGTATAAACTCGACAAAGCCACTGAACGTTATCTGACCCTTTTTGCCCCTGCTTTAAACACCCTTGCAGCCGGTTGCCCCTGGCCATGCATGCTCATCATAACCTCTCTATGGGCACAGAAGGTGAAGCGTTGGAGTGACTTTCTTGTTTTTTCAGCATCCCGTACCGTTTTCCACCACGATTCTGACGCTGTAGTTCAGCTCCTTAGAACCTGCTTCACATCGACTCTAGGGCTAAATTCCCCTCACATCTCAAGCAATGGTGGTGCAGGCGCCCTTCTTGGCCATGGATTTGGCTCCCATTTCTCTGGCGGAATGTCTCCAGTTGCCCCCGGAATACTCTACCTACGAGTTCACCGGTCTGTCAGAAATGTGTTTTTTATGACAGAAGAAATTGTTGTCCTTTTAATGCGCTCTGTTAAAGAAATTGCAAGTAGTGGGTTACCTGCTGAGAAATTGGACAAGTTGAAGAAGACCAAGTATGGGATGAGATATAATCAGGTTTCTCTTGCTGCGGCAATGACGCGTGTGAAGCTCGCAGCTTCACTAGGGGCTTCATTAGTTTGGATAAGCGGTGGAATAAGTTTGGTTCAATCTTTAATTAAAGAGACATTGCCATCATGGTTTATAACTGTTCATGGGCCAGAGCCAGATGGAGTGGAATTTGGAGGGATGGTTGCGATGCTGGGGGGCTATGCACTTGCCTACTTTGCGGTGCTCTCTGGGGCATTTGCTTGGGGAGTGGACAAAAAATCACGAGAATCTAAGCGGCGGCCAAGTGTACTTGGGGGCCACTTAGAATTTATGGCTAGCGCCCTCGATGGAAAAATATCGCTTGGTTGTGATTGGGCGACATGGCGGGCATATGTCTCGGGATTTGTGAGCTTGATGGTGGGATGTACACCAGTTTGGATGCTGGAGGTGGATGTAGATGTATTGAAGAGACTCTGCAAAGGATTGAGGCAGTGGAATGAGGAAGAACTGGCTTTAGCCCTGCTTGGTTTGGGCGGAGTGGATGCAATGGGTGCTGCTGCTGAACTCATCATCAAAAGCGGCAGTTTTGAATTTTGTCAAAAAATTTAGTCGCAACATTTTATACATTGTGAGGTAGATATATTTTAACCTAGTTACTGCTAAAGTTTTGTAAAATTCTTGTCTGTGTATAGTTCAGGCAGAAAAAAATTATATGGGTTTCGAAACTTATGTACATATGATTAAATGATTTTAGGCTTTGCTTGTAGGATGGCATGGTTTATGCGTATCTTGATTGAACGTTTGTATGGATGTTAAAGATTTTGTATAACCTTTTGGTTGACGCTACCAGGTATATAGTCTGGCGGTCAAAAAATCGTATTATTTCTTGATTAGATCATTCCCTCCAGTCTCTGTCGGTTAGACTGTAAAGTTGAAGATTAGCTTCAAAAACGCTTCTCGGATGGTTTGTAGTTTGTTCCCTGGTGTCTGATTTTTGTATTTATAAGTAATTATATTCTTGGAAATCAAAATGCTCTTGAAACTTTTGTGAGAAGCATTGTATAATTTGCATGTAATAAATTGATTTTAGAAAAGGCCCAAACTGTTAAAAGCTCAAAAAAGAATGGGTAGTTGTCCTACAGATGCAGTAATAATTAACAGAACATAAAATTTGCTCTTCAGTAATTAGAAAGCTAGGAAGAAAAAACAAAAAAAAAAAAAAAAAATAGAAAGCTAAAACATGTTGTGTTATGTATTAAATTATTAATGATCATTATTATCGTATGGGCATGCATTTTAAAGGGAGGGTGAGGTTATTGGTCAAAGTAGATTGTGTATTATGATCAACCAATCTTTAGTAAGAATATCATATGATTCTACATCAAGATTTCTAGGTGTTGGGCAAGGAAAAACTAAAGTTGATGACATCAAGCAAGAAGCATAATCGACTCACCAAGCTTTGAGTTGTAAAGATTCCTGCAATTTGGAATTTATAACAAACAATTTGTTATTTTATTTTTGTTTGAGAAAGCAAATCTTTGTGTAACGGTAAGATTGCTTCATTGTGATTTAGAGGCCAAAAATTCGAAATAAAAAAATAGTCTCTCCATATGTCAGAATAAGGTTGTGTACAATTGATCTTCTTCATACCCCGTAATGACGAGAGTCTCTCTACTAAATTTGAGAGGCATCCGTAAGTATAGTAGATATTACGCATAAGAGGTTGAAATTCACATTAAGAACATGATTTCATATTTTGTTTTTGCTAATAAGATGATTTGCACCACACCAATAATCTGATTCTTCTTGAAGCATGTGTTCAAAATCTACATTTAGAATGTACCTGCCAGATAGTTAATTTCAAATTTAAGGAAATACACCAATAAGTGAAGAGAATTCCTGAATATATAAAATGCTTCATGATAGAAATAGATTTTTTTTTTTGCAAGGTAATGATAGGAATACTAAATAAGTTTGAATTTTGTCATTTTCATATCACAAAGGAAATAATTGACAACTCGGAGTTGCACATTATCCCGACCAAGGGAGAAAAGTGTTGCTAAATTTTTTCCGCCTGTTACTTCACATGTGACAGCAGGTGGACCCAAAAACAAAATATTTTTTGTCGGTAGGTGTGTGATCCATAGATCCAACGCAAAATACAAACTACAAACTACCCACGAGTGGAATGAACAAGAAACTGAAGATTACCCATATGAGTGGAATGGAAAAAAACTGAGAAGGAAAAAAAATTGAACCAACACATGCATTGCATACCAGTATGATCACCTCGAACCAGTAAGAATTTCTATGAACATTCTGCAAAAATCTGTCACTGTGGAGGGAAAGAAAATACATACAAACTCTAATTCAAAGAGAGTGAATAATTACATAATTCACTATACCTATACCCTTCTGCAGACATCCTTATTTGCTGTAACTCCTGAACTTTTATTAAATCATTATTCGATAACGAAAGGGACCTCCTCCCATGATTACAAAGGTCGAAGAGAAAAGAATTCTTTTATTTTTTATTTTTTCCAGTCGTGTTTGTGAATGGTTGTTCGTTTATTGGGGGCTAGCGGGGATGGTTGTGGTTTGAGCAGGGAAAACATGTTTCAATCACTTAGGCTTTTGGCTTCAAACAGGATACAACTGTGAGACTTCATTTCATAGGTGACTAAATCACCTGTCTTCTCGAGGATTGGTTCACCATCTTTGGAGAAGAATCCCGGAAAAGGAAGGGCTGTGTCAACCAAACGAAGCCATACCATCTCCGCGGGAGGTGGGGGTAGAATAACACTCTCTGGATGATCAGCAGCATTAACGGCAATGAACAAGTCACCGCTCAAATGAGAAGAATCCGCGTCCAGCTTGCTCTCCTCTTTGTCAGCCTTCAATGTCATGGACAGGAATCTGCTTGATGGGTCATCCCATCTTGGTGGGGACTGGTCGCTTCCATGCCAGTCAATATTTTCTTCTTTCAAGAAGTTCCGTTTCTGAAGCAGATCACTTCGCCTCACTCTTAGTGAACTCAAGAATGAAATAAACTGTGTGGTCTGAATAGCAAAAGCAGTTCCTAATGCATTCCAATCAAAAGATTTTCTGTCTTTGTATGCAGGTGAACCCCCGGAAGACTGACCGCACTCATCTCCCATGTTGAGGATGGGGACGCCCAGAGAAACAAACAAGATGAATAGGAAATTACGGATTTGTTTGAGTCGTCTTTCAAGGACGGTGGTTTTACTTGTCAGGCCTTCTTCCCCACAATTCCAGCTTAACTGTGAAGCTAGCTCACTGGTACTGAAGCTGACTAAGTCCACAAGAGCAAGTCCAGAATTTCGGGCAATAAAATTGAAGGAGAATGCTGGGCCTCGCCCATTCAGAAAGCGGTCCCCACTTCCGCAGAGCCGCGTTGCAAGGTCACTAAGAAGAGCCTCACCCCTCAAAAAATTTCTAACATCGTCACAAAATTTGTTGTTTATTTCTGCCCATCTCTTCCAATGAGGAAAACAAACTTCCTTTGGTGCCATGTCATTTGGGTCCCAGCAGTCTGCAATGATCTTTGCCTTTGAGAGTAATGGATCAAAAGCAATTGCTTCAACCAAAGGAGGACGGGACAGCATTTCACCATGAAACCCTCTCAGTAGATATGAAGCATTTATGAAACAAAATCCATCAATGTGAAACTCAATAACCCAATGCCGAAGACTATCCAAAATCATCTGTTGGACTATAGGGTAATTACAATTCAAAGCATTTCGGGCTTTCAAATCTTTACCACCACTTCCATAATAATAGGATGAGTTATCAATCTCTCTCAGTACCCCACCCTCAGCCGTATGGGTAAAAACAACCTCTAGGAAGACCTCCATTCCATTTGCATGCAATTTTTTCACCATCTCCTTGATCGAATTAATAGTGGATAAAGGGTCACCAGGGGGTCCATACAGGTTCATCGGCAAAAAGAAATGGCATGGAAAATAAGGTCCTTTCTGCTCATCAAAGAGGGAAATTGGTTCCAATAAGATTGCATTCACCCCAAGGTCTTTGAAATGGTGCAACTTCTCAGTAATACCAGAGAAAGTACCAGCAACATTATTTGCTAACTTGCTGGACTTGTCCTTTGTAAAACGCATAACATTTAAGCGATAAACTACTAGTTTCTCCATTGGTAAGCCAGGACGAATGTCACCACTCCAATCAAAAGCAGGAACCTTGTCCAATAGTCCAAGATATTTCAGAAGCAAGCCTGATCCATGATGAGCGGGAATGAAATTTGTACTTATCTTAGCATATGGATCCAAAAGAATGTGTTCTGCTTGAAATTTGTCTCCACTTTGCTGAACGCCCCTCTTGCATCGATAACCATAGCCTACAAAGTGCATTTCACTGTCCATTGAGACATGCCAGATGTCACCCGAGCGATTGACATATGGATCCAGATCGATCTCAAGAGCAGGTTTCTCTGTCGAGGTGTCATCATACAAGCACAAAACCACACTTTCTGCATTTCGTGAGAAGAGGGCGAAATTCATGGAACCATTAGCTGAAAAGGATAGACCCAAAGGAGCAGGACAACCTGATCCAAAACCAACTGGGAAACAAAATTTTTTATTCCTATGGCTTCTGATTTCTAAGGTTCTTGAATCCCCTTCTAAAGGAGACTTCAGTAAAAACGAGAGGTAGAAGGGGGCTAAACTCGATTCAAAGTCCAACTCAACCACAAGCTTGCCCGAGGACTTTTGCACAAATGAGGTCTCAGTGATACCAGATCTGGCATCTGGAGATGAATTTTGAAAGCCTAGAGGCATGAAAAGGGATGAATCAGATCTGAATATGCCCCAACTCATTACCAACTTATCCTTGTTACTGCTGCGCAGTTGCAAGTTTGAAACTTCAACTTGCACTACATATTTGGTATTTTTCCTTCCAACAAAAACCTTCACCTGACCACCAGTTTCTGTCCTAAACAGATAAGTTGATGACCTTTCTTCAGTTTGAACAACAGAATTTTGTGATGAAGAAAGCTGTTCCAAACTGCGATACTGGGAAGAAATTTTGGGGGAACTATTTACAATTTCTTCACAAACTAGGTTTCTTTCCCTATCCATTTTCTTTAAGCTATGTGTTATTTTTTTCCCATAATTATAATGAGCGGCAGCTATCAATTTAGAGTATTGCGTGGTTGCACCGGTCAGAAAATGGGACTGTATTACAAATGATAGTGGAAGAGTTGCCATTTACCAATGCAAAAGGAGGAAAGCCCACAAAGCATGAAAAAACTTCAAGCCATGGAAAGATTTTCCTACCCGATCCACTATTTGTCTCTGTTCCAGAAAGAAAGAGTAAGTTCACTAGCTGATATTATTAAAGCAAATTGCAAAGTAGTTATTGCAATTTATAATTGGCTGGAAAAAAGAAGAAGGTAATTTCACTGAAATAGAGCTCAGCAACAAAAGAGATATGTAGAGATATATCATATGTATATAACAATCATTAAAAACAAAGGCAATACAAGTTGTGTAACATTTATATAACATACAAGTTGGTGGTAGATATCAACAATCATTGTAAGGGCCAAAATTAATAGGATGAGGTACATCTATGAATTCTAAAATGCGCCAACTTCAAACAATTTAAGTAAACAACAGACTCATCCCATGCAAACTATAGTGGTGTTACTAAATTTCAATCGAATATCCAAACACCACAAGTATGAATGAGAGAGTTCACGGTATTTTCTTACATGAATTGTACAATTATCATAATTGTCGCCAACATGATTGGGTAGGGATTGAAAAGGATGGTACAGAAAGTATCAACAGGGAAGAACAAAATAATACAATGTCAACTTAAATTCTTCTTAAGGAATCCATGAAAGGGACATAATCCCAAGAATGAAAACACACAGATACTCACACTTAGACACACAATCAGAGAAGGCACCTTCCGTTAAAATTGTGTAAAAATAACTGACGTTGCAAATGAAATGACGTGAAATTCAACCAGAAAGTTGTTATCAACATTAAGTTGAATAACAACCCATTGAAAAGTTGAGAAGAGAAAAAGAACACAAAAATGTTTCAAACCAAATGACAACAAAAGGACTCCATCTCTGTATTGAATCATAAAACAAGAGTTGTCGCCCAGTGATGTCTTTATCTCTACTCTCTAATGACTGGGTGTCTTATTGGACAGGATTTTAAACATCTGAGGATCCTTGAAGGATGTATAGTTTTGAAAAAATGACATGAAAATTCAATCCATAAGAAGTCATTGACACCAAAATTAAGTAATACCCAGTTGAGAAAAGTAACAAAACAAAGACATACCATGCAGATTTCTCTTTCTACCGTAGGCAAACCATAATTACATTGAAACCCAAAAACCAAAATCAACTCAACCAGTGAATTGTAAACATGTCAAATTGTGGTGATTGATATCAAATTACAATGAAAACAATGAATGCAAATAGAATAAATGACATGAAAAATCAATAAATAGAAAAAATTAAGTGAATCTATACGAAGTCACTGACACCAACACAACACAACACGGCCAATAAAATACAAATTAGACGTTGAAATAATTGTGAGGGTACAATAAAAAGCTAAAAATGAAGTCAATCAACACTACACAACCAATAAATAGAATAATAATAATAATAATAATAATAATAATAATAATAAATACATGAAATTTCAATATATATGAAGTCATTGACACCAAAATCAAGTAACACCCATTTGAGAAAAGCAACAAAACAGACACATATAATGGAAATTTCTCTTCTACAGTACTTCAAACCATAAATTCAATGAAATCCAAAACGAAAATAAACACAATCAAGTGAGAGAAGAGAAGTTGAACTCACATCATTGAAATTTCTGAGTTGCAACCAAACTGAATTTCCGTGAGACGATGATAGAGAGAACTAAAAGGCACAGCGTAACGAGAGTGGAAATGTGCGAATCCAAGCAGGAGTAGAAGAAGTATGATTGATTACTCTCCCTCTAAATTTGCTATCTTTCCATGGACCGCATAACGAAAGCCCATCAAGATTTGGAGTATATTTGAGTAAGGATGTTATGTTGATTGTGCTTCGCCGCTCTATGAGAATGCATGAGGACCCAAAAATATGGCCGTTCCTTTGTTAATCTCCTTACGTGGCATCAATTTTAACGATTATAAACTTTTTTTATTGTGATGTGGACCCTTATCTAGTGGGTCAGATTAGAGTTCCCCTGAATTGATGGAAAGACACTAATTTTCATGTATGTGGTCTTCTAAATAGTTCTCAGTTGGTTTTAAAAGACCAAATTGGACTGCAATCTATGTCAACTTACTAATAATTAGCTGGCAGATTTAATTATCATCATTGATTATGATCTATAAATTGGTCAATGGTTCAATTGATGTATCTTCCTTTTCCGTGGGCGGCCAAACTCTTTGGAAGGGATTGATCCAATCCTAATCTTAACTCCAATATACTATGCAATTTAATAAAAATATTAGAACAAGTCCTCGTGGACCTATTTTATTTTAATTCCCAAATCATATTTCTAAGGAATTGATGTAACTCTAATCTTAACTCTAATGTACTCATGTAACAGTTGTAAGTGTATTTAATAAAAATATTAAAATATGAGACACATTTTATTTTAATTACCAAATCATAAATAGTAATCAAATTACATAAGTATTGTTCAAAATATTATCAATTAGAGCCTGTTTAAATTGGAGTTGTTGTTGAAAAAAAAAAGTGTTTTTATCAGGAGCTGTCAAAAAATTGCGTAAAAAGTATGTTAAGTGTTTAGTAACACATTATAATAAGTATTTTTCATAACAAAATTATTTTTTTATTTATTTGGTAACAATATTTTTTAAACATTTCTATTCTTAATTTTATAATAATATCTTTTAATACGATATTACCATATTTGATAATAACAACTTTATTAAGGAATGAGTATAATTGTCTTTAACCTTTACTCAGAACACAATTTTAAAAGTTTCTACTTAGCAGTTTTAAAAGTTTCATATTCTAGCTTTATTCAAACAACTATTGAACTAAATTTGTTAACCATTAAAAGTGCTTTTAATAATTATCAAACACATCTAACACACAAAATTTTAAAATAAAAATACTTTTAAATGGTAGAGAAGCAATCCAAACGGGGTCTTAATATTCTACTAATTTTTATATTTGTCATGTACGTTACTTTTGATTAGCATATTATTTTTGTAAGTTCCTCCTTTTTCTTTTTCTTTTTCTTTTTTTCTTTTTTGAATTAGGGGCGTATGGTTTGAATTGGATTAGTTTAGGAGAATTTTTGAACCAAATAAATCCTAAAGATTTCACAAAAATTGAAACCAAGAACCAATAGAACCAAATCAATTGATTCAGTCTGATTTTTTCGCCTTATTACATATTTACATCAATCTACGCTTCAATTGTGCTCTTATGAACATATTGCAACATTTTTTAAAAAAAAAATAAAAATATTAAATTAATATAATGTTGACCATATTTAAGACACGTTTTCCAGTAATTTGCATAATTTGCTTGATGCTAGTTTTATTAAATTTAGGATAAAGTGTAAAAAAAAACTCCTAAACTATTGACTTTTTGCAACTAACCCCTTGTACTAAAGATTGCTTCATAAATTATTGATTTGTTACAAATAAAAACAAACTCATCACAAAAGACTATTTTATCCTTTCTAATTAAATTTGTCATTTCTTATTAAATTATTTTTTATTATATTTTTTATTATTTAAATATCAATTATACCATTTACCTTAACTTTATAATTAGTATCAATTTATTATAAAAATAAAAAAAATTAAATAGATTTGTAGCTATCATTTTTTAAAATAATTAATTTATTATACTCACTTTAAAAAAATTTAATATAAAAAATATATTCTTTTTAAAACAATATTTATGAAAAATTAATAAATTACATAAATAAAAATATTAACTTTTCAATGTAATATATTCATAAAAATTAAAAAATTACTTAAATTGTTTCAAAAAATTTTATTTAAGATTTTTATTTAAATAATTAATTAAAAAATAAAGATAAACTTATACAAACTTAATAGAGAATATTTTATCAAATTGGTGTGACATTTTTTTATAATTTATTTCAATAAAAAAAATATATCAATAAGAAACTATTATAGTTATTTAATGAACTAAATGTAACTAAATGTGATAGTTTTAGAAATTTATAAGCTCTAATTTAATTTTGAATAGAATGACAATTGAGGAAAGCGTAAAGTCAAGACTTGTCATATCAACAACCAGTCTGTGGAGTGACAGAGTCGCATGTTACTATGCAGAGATATCCTATATCTACCCATTTAATCGCCTGTGTATGCTTTTTTCCAAGTGGAGGTGAAAAAAAAAAAAAAATCTCCATCAGCAACCACAAAACAAAAATGGTTCTCATTACTCGTATTTTGTAGGGCCTATAGGCAATGAAACAAACAAATATTTTATACCAACAAAAAAAAAAAGAAAAAAAAAAGAGAGTGAATAATACCAAAAATTGTTACATCAGCGATACACTAAATAGAACCGTCAAATAAGAATTGTTGATTGGACCCACCAAGAGTTACCCAGCTAATACCTAAGCCATCAAGCTGCTGACTTCTGAACAAGTCGAGCTAACACTTCCATTGCTCACCGTCGGATCTTCGCATCCAACCGCATAGATTCCATCACCATCCCCGCTACTATCAGCATTATCATCATCATCATCGATTCCACCCTCATCCGACGATAGAGGCACTAGCCAACACGTCCCATGCAAGTGCCCATTCACACACACGAAATATTCCAACCCACCTTCAGGCGAGCCGAGCCTCCTAGCTGCACTCTTGGTCACGAGCCGAGCCGCGGTCATGCTCCACACGCGGGTCCCACAGTAAGGACACCTAACCCTCTCCTCGAGCGCCGCCTGCCGTCCGACCAAACAAGCCCTCGTTCTCGACCTCTTAAATCCCCGAAATACCCCTCGGTAGATCCCCAAATCGTCCTCCTTGTTTGCCATCGCATGCTCACAAGGATCGCTCACATACAGCGTATCGCCCCTACACCTCTTCGCCAAAAAGCTCCCACCCGACGTCTTCGAAAAACGAGTCCCGTTCACGAAATGACCCGGCAAGGGTCGACTCAGTTTAAAATGCCGAGTCGACTCACAACCGCAGCAAAAGAATAGAAGCTTTGCGAGCGCGTGCCAACCACCCGCGAGACGGCCGTTGGGCGATGCGTTGGCCAATGCAACCACCATTCGCGGCGCGCGGTACACGCATAGCTCCCTCCAGAGGAGTCGGTTGGCGATGGCACGGAGCTTCCGGCTGACCGACGCGGCCTGGCACAATGAATGGAGGTCCCACTTGATATACTCGAAGACGAGCACGAGTATTTGCTGGTTGAGAATGCCCGAGTCGCATGACTCGGACGGCTGACTCGGCGAGTTCAGTCTTGGTCTCTGGTTGGAGTTCATTCTTCCGACAACAACTATGGTATTTCGGGAAAGTTGGGATATGCACACATGTATATATATAGCAGTGTCTAGAACGTTTTTAAATATCTCAACACGTGTAACTATTCCATTTGGTAGAGGACACGTGTTTGTGTAGCATTGGAGTTTTGGGTTTAGCAGAACTAGGAACAATGTTCGCTGTTGATGGAACAAGAGATCTGAAGCCACGTGTCCCACTAAATTATCTTTTCTCTTGGTTCGAAATATCTGTGGTGATACGTGGCGGGTTTTAAGGGGTGAATCTAGGAAAATATCTAGAGTAAAATAATAATTTGTTAGTGTAAGATAATGGTGTAGACGTGGGGGAGTAAGAGGCGTACACGTGTAATATCTGACGTGGATACGGTTGTTCTGTTGGTGTTTGTTTTTGGGGATGTCGTCGTCACTTGGTCAGGGAATGGAGGAAAAGGAAAAGGAAAATTGAAAGGGAAAGTGGGTGAGTAGAGTTATAGGTATGGGGGATATTGAAGTGCTAAAGAAGGAAGTGATTGGTCAGTGTGCTTTCCCAAATGTGTACTTATGCCAAACGTTAATGGATGCTTCCTCATTGAAACTTCACCCATTTTTTTAAAGGGTGAAATGCTCTGCAAGATTAACCTTCCGGTTTATCTTTATTACTCGCGTGTTAAAAGAAAAATTATACTCACACCTCTATGAATTAATTTATTTAAATTATAAATTTATTATTTAAATTTTTTCAAAACATTTTAATGGATAAAATTAACCTTCACAATGTAACTTTATTTTGACCATTATAATAATGGACAAAGTATAAAAAACCCTTCCCAACTTGTAACTTTTTTCACTAAACTCCTTTCGTCTAATTTTTTTACCAAAGAACTTCCTCGACTTATAACCCTTTCCAATAAATTCCCCTTGTCTAATTTTTTTACCAAAGTACTCCCCTCAACTATCTAAGGGGTAAAAGAGATAATATTTGAACCAAAATACCCTTTTATTTAAATCTTAATTTTTTCGAATTTCAAAAATTCATATTTCACAAATCGTATATCAAAATATTACAAATAATATATGCACGAAAAACTTATAAAGAAAGAAATATAAGATTCGTTTAACAAAATTTTATAACCAGAAAGAAATAGATAATCTAAAAATCTACTACAACAATATTATTTTATTTTATTTTTTATAAAATACTCCGGTTATTTGTAAGAAAATTTTCAAAATTATTCATTTTCATATGGAGCATAACATATAAAAAAATTAACCCCAATAAAGACCTAATATTCATATTTATTTTTTTAAAATGGTGAATCTATAAAAGAACGAAAATACTTTGACGCAAAATATGATATCTCATGAAATCGATCTCTGTTGGGGCTAAATTTTTTATATATTCCGTTTCATATGTAAATGAATAATTCTGAAATTTTTTTGCAAATATCTCGAATATTTTATTTTTTAAAAATAAAATAAAATTGTTGGAGTAGATTTTTAGATTGTCGATTTCTCTCTAATTATGAAAGTTTGTTATACAAATCTTATATTTCTAGAATCCTTATTTCATAAGCTTTTCGTGCATATATTATTTATAATTTTTAAATGTACGGTTTGCGAGATATGAATTTTTGAAATTCGGGAGAATTAAGATTTAAATAAAAGGACATTTTGGTCCAAATATTAACTCTTTTACCCCTTTCAGATAGTTGAAGGGTGTTCTTTGATAAAAAAAAATAGACAAGGGTGAGTAATTGAAAAAAAGGCTGCAAGTCGAGGAAGGTTCTTTGGTAAAAAAAAATAGATAAGGGTGATTTACTATAAAATGTTACAAGTCGCAGGGGAAGGGGGAGGGGGGGGGGGGGGGATTTCTGTATTTTGCCCTATAATCATTGACGTTGGGGAGACATTATATCCATACTTTTTTTATTATTCAGGATTATGTATCTTTATAAGTCCTATATAACCCATAATAATTGACCAATAATTAAAGATTTTTTTTTTTTTAGAAAGGTAATAGCTAAAGACATTGAACCACGTGATTGTAGATAGTTTTTTTTTTTTTTTTTTTTTTTTTTTTTTACAAGAAACTCATACATCTAAACTTTAGAACAAACTTATAGTAATATTATAATTAGTACATATATTATATACTGCTACAACTATTACTACATATTCATAAAATATTCATTGCCTATTTTTTATATGGTTCTTGGATTTGTTATAGATTTGATTCTACTATTAAACATATGTTGATTGATAGTTGTGCCAAAATGATGATGTTATTATCTTCTCTATCAATTTTCAATGTCAAATTTTTTATTTTTAATTAGAGTTGATAAAATTTAATATTTAATAATTTTATCAATTAATAAATTTTGCACCTAACCAATACAATTGTTTATTTCGCTTTGAAGAGTAATATAACTTGTTCATTTTGCAAACATGGTGTTTTTTGTTGACAAACTATAATTTGTAATTGTTACGCAATAATTGACTCTAGAGGAGGGTGAATGGAGTCAATGGGCAATTTTCGTAATCAATGAAAAATAATTTATAGAGATATACTTATCACACTTATGCAATAATTGAATGAAGTAAGTAAACGACTTATAACATAATTGTAAGAGAGATAAGAGTAAAGAAATTGCATACTCTAACACGACGATTTTAACGAGGTTCGGAAACTCTTACTTCTCGGCTTAAAATCCCTCTTGAGACTTTCCCAAATCCACTATAACTTCTCCTTATTGGTGGAGAACAAACATTCACAAGAAGCAAGACCTTGCTTCCATTATGCTTGCTAAGAGAACAATCTCCCTTAATCTTCCTTTGGGTCATGTAATACCCCATATTTTATTAAAGAGTTTAGTTTATTTAAATTCATTTATGTGTGGATTTCTTTACCTATTATTGTGCATGCTATATTGTTTTCTTAAGTTCATTTAATGGTGCATGTAAATTAATTGTATATGTTAAAATAGTAAATTTATTCATTTAATTGTGCATGTATTATTATTAATAATTTTATTTGTTGATTATGTTTAATTAAGCAATATTAGTTAATTAAAGTATTATATTTATGTTATAAAGTATTATGATGATATAATGTACTCTTATGTAATAATAATAATTATTATAATAGTTATTAATAATAATAATAATATAATAATATTAATTATAATAGTTTATTAATAATAATAATAATAGTTATAATAATAATAATAGTATTAAATCACAAGTCATGATGAAATTAGAGATTAGGATAGGATTTCATTAATATTTATAGGTAGGACTTGAAGCCATATGGTTGGGAATGTGGTGAGTTTAATGTAAATTTAGATATTTGTAATATTTATATTATTTTAATTTGTATAAATATTAGTTAGTTTGATGAGAAGGGAAGTTAGAAACCAATTTAAAATAGTAGAGAGTTGTTGTTAGAGGAAAGAAAGAGAAGAAAGGTGAGAGAGAAAGAAAGGAGCTTGGACCAGTGTAGGAGAAATTTACCCGACTACGCGTAACCGGCGGATTTATTTTAAAATCCAAAAAGGCAAGTTATTATCTACTTTTCCCCTTTGAATTAATAAATTAATTGTTTGGTTTATTTGTATGCATAGAGCCAAGGTTAGTAGATTAATAAATTATAAATTTTATCTTATTAAATTAATGAAATTTTAATTATATAGGATGGTATATATTTATTTAATATCCTATGAAATTAATAATGGCCGAAAATAATTAAATAAAGTTTTAGGGATTTTTCTAGAATTTTCTAGATTTTTCCGGGGCTTTTCTGCAATTTCCGGCGACCTTCCGGCGAGTTTTCCGGTCGCCGGCAATGGGGGAGATGACCGGAGTGATCCGGTGTGATGCGGTGCACCATAGGAGGGTATGCGCGCGCATCTGGACCATTAAACAGCAGCGATTGATCCGGTGCACCGCGGTCCATGTTACCGCGGTACACCCGGATCCGTGAGCGTTGGATGGAGGGAAGGTAGGTGGATTGATCCTGTGTGGCGTGCATGTAGGAAAGATGATGCAGCCAACCAACCGGAGGTCGCCGCGTCAGCAAGGAACCATTAGTCCGCGCGTAACTGATTCCAGACGCGCGTGGGAGCGCGTGCGCGAGCGTGGAACTCTCCAAACGCGCGTGCAAGCGCGTGTGAGCGCGTGGGAGAGTGGGAAAGCTTGGCTGCGCGTGGGGAAGCTTAGGGAGGCGCGTGGGGGCGCGTGAAGGGCCCTGTCAGCTGCTGAAAATTACCAGAATACCCCTAGGGCCTGTTTTGTAATTTCCAGAACCTTAAACTTGCACTTTTGGGCCTATGGTTGGTACTTACGGGTTTAACGGGACATTAAATTATTATTTTATTAACCGTTAGTTATTATTATGTCCGATTAATATTTTTAAATATTAATTGTATCGCTTTCAATACAGATCACCATTAAACGGATGTAGTTAATTTAATGACATTGTTAATCATTAATTGTGTTATTATTTTATTAAACAGTATTAAATCATTAATGTTAAAATTAAATGATTACATGGTTTTAATTCAAATAAATTGTCCGTTATACATTGCAGGATTATTTATGTTGTTAATGATATACAAACCATGATTATTATGCTGTGTGCATTTCAGGAAATAAATGGACTGTTTAATTATGTCACATTTATATTATATGGATGAGTTGCCATATAGAACCATATGAGCTGGCTAATAAGTTTAGACTCATTTATACCTTATGCATTCGTTGCTATAGACAGATGTGTGGCTGTCGGGGTATGTGGTTTAATATTATTGGCATGTGTTGCCTAATTGACATGCTCAGTATATTTAGTAATATTATTGGCATGTGTTGCCTAATTTATATGCTCAGTATATTCATCAGTACTTTGAGAGGTGTTATCACTGTGTAGTTCGTTATAGTCTGTGTTGTCAGTACCGTGCACCATGTATAATAGCTGATTTCCCGGGTAGGGAAAGGCGACACTTAACCACCTAGTGTGAGTCTAAGTGATCACCGTCTATTCTGGTT